TTTGTGCACGTGTGTTAACACACAGATTGCCTAATTTCATTTTTTTCTTAATTGCTTGTTTGGGAGCTAAAGAAAGGGCTCAACCTTTAAAAGCGCGGACTGCTCTGGCGGAGGGACTCATTTGGTGGCCCAGCACCCATTCTGGAGGTTCAAATGGCCTGTAACTCCGCTCCAGAGGAATTCCAAACAGTTCTGTCCTCTACCCACACCTGTGCTCATACACACATACCTCCCCCACCACATATGCATAATTTAAAAAAATCTTTCAAAGCTGGACACAGTGGTGCACACCTTTAATCTCAACACTGGAGAGGCAGAGGCAAGTGGATCTTTGTGAATTTGAGACCAACCTTGTCCACCTAGTGAGTTCAAGGACAGCCAGAGCTACACAGTGAGACCCTGTCTGGAAAACAACAAGAAACAAATTAACTTTTAAGATGCTTATTTTGATTTAGTCTCAGATGAATTGTGGACGCTTGCAAAAGACCATTGCTCTTGTCATCACCTCCAGAAAATATTGGGAAGATGTCTATATTGTATATTTTCACTAAGTCACCAGACTTGTTATCTGCAAGCAGGCTAAGGAGTGAAAATCTAGTGGTCAGCCACTTTTTCTCCATAAGTGGAGGTCAATGGGAAGGACCCTCCAGCCTGGTGAAGCTAGTAGACAGAGAAGCCAGCTTTCTGTAGACAAACCAAAAAACAACCAAATGAACAAATCATGCCTGAGACAGGAGAACCTGCCCCCCCAAAAAAAAAACAAACCAAAAACCAATTTGTAACATGTGGGTCAAGAGGGGCTCTCCTCCAGTCTGGAGTAAGCTCAAGTGCAAGGTCAGTTCCCCACTAGATATTGCCAAGGGACCTTTGAGGAAGGTACAGGCTGCGCTAAGAGAGATCTTGGTCTCCGTCTTTCTGTGTTGCTTGCTCCCTTGGGGGTGCACGCACACCTGCACACAGATATACACACATACATACACACAAATATACACATCACACATATATACACATACATACACACATACACATCACACACATAGACCATGCAGCATCTCCAACCTTTCTTCCCTTTCCTCCACCTTCTTTTTGTTTGTTTTTGTTTTTCAAGACAGGCTTTCTCTGTATAGCCCTGGTGTCCTGGAACTCACTCTGTAGACCAAGCTGACCTCAAAGTCACAGAGATCCACCTGCCTCTGGCTCCCGAGTCTTGGTTGGGGTTAACTGCATGTACCACCACACAGGCTGTAACCTTTAACTGTAACTTGTAACCTTTACCTTGTAACTGTTTTTTACCTTGCTGACCTTCATCTACTCTCACCCTCAAGGAATCTGTCTGGCTCAGGAATCCTCCAACCCCAACTCACCTCTTTCTCCCTGGCCTTACTCCCACATCCAGTACTATACTCTGACCATGCTACCCTATAATGCTCCTTGGAATCCCTGGTCTACAACTCTAACTAAGGCCTATTGCCTGTCTTAGGCTCCAGAGGCTATTTCAGGTCCTGCTTACAGGGTAGGTCCTCCAGATTTACCCTCCATCAGTGGGTCTGTAATCTGCACCTGAGGGTCCCTAGCATTCTGCCCCATCCCTTCACAGCCTTACTATAAAGATGATGCTTAGATTCTATGCGGGCATTGACCTTGTCTGCCTCCACATTCCTGTGTGTCTGCAGATTGGTCCTGGCTTGGGCTATCTCAGACTAGTTCAGAAGTCGCCTTCTCCAGGAAACCCTTCCAGAGGGCTCTGCTCCTTCACAAAGGTCTTTAAGCCACTACAGGCCCATGCCCTTCACAAGTGGAGGTTCTACCACCAGATTTCAAGTTTAGCCTTCCACGTCCTTTTTGGGGAGAAAGAATGGGTCACCAGGATTTGTAGCCCTGTTTTCTAGCCCAGCAGGCTAGGCTTTCAACCCTCAAAGGTCTCCTCTCAGTGTCTGTAACCCAGAGTGGGTAAGTTTAAGGTAAGGGATCACTGCCTATGGATTACAGGGTGTCCCGCCCTCTCAGCTGTGGCCCCACCTCTTCCCCCTTCCTTCTGGAGGAAGTTCTGTGGTTGCCATGGGAGCAACTCGGGTTGCTGGCCTGGTCTCAGCCCTGTGAGGAACGAGCAGGAGCGAGCAGGAGTGAGCAGGAGCAGTCTGTAGAGAAAGCCCAGCCGCAACCTCCTCCTTCAGAGATACAGAACAAGGCAAGCTGGGTGAGGGGTACCCGGTCCTGCAGCCCCAAACCAAGCGAAGGGCGGTGGATCCCACTTGCAGAAGCCCCAGGTAAAGGGGAAAGCTCTGGGCGCCCTTGAACACCGAAGGTCCACCTGGCTTTGTGAGGAGTGTGTGGCGGTTTAGTGCCTGTGGCTTTGCTCTTAGGGTATGGGGAAGGTGTCCTGGGGGCTCTTCTGCATCTCCGTGTTTGTGGAAGCCCCGGTAAACCATCCCAGACAAGCTCCTGGAACATTTCTGACTTCCCACTTTCTTTTCTTTTAACCTCTCCACCTTTTTTTTTTTTTTTCATTTTAAGCTAGCATACAGAAGGGGTTTGTTTCATCGTGACATTTTATTCATACACACCATACTTACACATGCACTTTGAGTATGTCTGCGTCCATGAATTTAACAAATTAAGTGTAAGGGTAGGGTTGTGTATACTCAGTGGCTGAGCGTTTGCCTGGCACCCCCAGAAACCAGAGCTCTGACCACCCCTTTGGTTCGGCATGTTTGTTTTAAAGTGTGTGTTGTTTGGCTGGAGAGACGATAGTAAGGGATGATGATAAAGGGAGAGGCACTGACTCTGCGGCTTTTGGGAGGGGTGGAGCCTGCTGGAGCAGGACTGGGCGGGGCTGATCGCTTGACTGCACTTGTCCTGCTCCCTGGAGGTGAGACTAAGGCAGTTTGTTTTCTGCAGTGTGGCTTCTGCCTTCTCAGGTCACTGGGCCTCTGAAGAAAGCGCAGATTAGAGATTCAATCCTGCCACTGAATATCTTGAGATATTCTCTCAAGAAGTTAGTAGCCTGAGGCAGGAAAGTAGCGCAGTGGGAGAGAGCCCAACTCTGGCTTCTGTTTAGGAACCACCAGAGTATGTTTCCTGGGTGCTGATACTGCACTCAGCAGATGGTGTACCATATACATCTTAGAAATGCGGCATTCTGATCCCATCTCCTCTAGGCAATTCACAGACTCTTCGTGCACCTGAGAGAAGTGCCCTAGGTAGGTCTCTGTTTAGCTTCATTTAGTTCAGCACTTCTCAACAATATTTGACAGATAAATCCCATTCTGGGGGCGGGAATCTCTGATCATCTTGAAAAATAACGTGCTACATTATTTAAATAGCCAAAAGTTTCCTAAATTGGGTGATGGGATCCAGTATGTATGTACATTCATCTACATAGATACCATCCTGATGTGTTTTTTAGAGTAATGCCATGAAAGAACTGCTCGCGGTATGACATTAACTGAAAGGTATAAAATTAGACCAAAGATTCCAATTCTGTCTAAACACACACACACACACACACACACACACACACACACACACATAAGATTCAAATACGTCTTTTTAAAGGTATAAGAAAAGTTAATTTAAATACACCAGATCTTAAATCTCGTTTGGCAGCTGTGGGTGGCAAGCTCTTATAGCACAGCTACCCTCCCCAGCAATGGATGCTTCTGAGAAGTGGAGAGTTAGAGAAAGCAGCATCTAAGAGTGCAGCCTGGTTCAAGTGTGAGATCTCAGAGTACATTTTGAAAAAGACATACACAGAAAGTAGAAGAACAGAAAGACAATGGCACGTGCTTCTTACAACAGTAAGATCGAAGCTTCCATTATGGAAGACCAGGATTTCACAAGAAATGTTTCTAAAGTAATATTGGAGCCAGGTGGCACACACCTGTGATTCCAGCACTCAGGAAGCTGAGGAAGGTGGACCTTGAGTTCAAGAGCATTCTAGGCTATACTGTGTTTAAAAGAAGAAAAGAAAGCCAAACATTAAAGTAGCAGGACTATTAGGGAAGCTGATTGTATAACAGGGAACAGAGACCCGGGACCTATTTATCAGTAAAGGCAAAGCATGGATGGGGGAGGGGGCTGGGTGGGTGAAGTACTCACCATACAGTGTGAGGGTCTGAGTTTGGATTCCCAGCTCTCACATAACACCTAGGCATGCTAGTGTATGCCTGAAACCCTAGCATTTGGGGTGGAGACAGATGGATCCCAAGGGCTCTCTGGCCAATCTAGCCTAAATAGTGAGTGACTTGTTCAGTGACCTGTAGACCAAAAAACCAAGCAAACAAACAAACAAAACAACAACAAAAAACAGTGGAGAACAGTAGAGGAAGACCCTTGATGTCAACTTCTGGCATCCATGTGCACAAGCACCTGCATTCCCAACCATACACAGGAACTGAAGGGGATCAGCCTTAGACAGAGGAAGTGGGAGGCACAGGTAGGTGTATTCTTTCATGAGCCAGGTCTCAGTCTGGTAAGATGATGCTATCGGGATGCAGTTGAGGTTTCCAACCCAAGTAGGTGGTTGCTCTAATCTTCGGGCTTAGACCATTGAATAAATTTGCCTTCCCTTGGGGCTGTCTTAAGAAACCCTGTCATTGTGCCCCAAAGGGCACATGGAAAGTCTTTAGAGTCAGTTTGATTGTGCACACTTCCCCTTAGCTGTTTGATTTTGTCCAAAGTAATTTCTCTTGACACTTCTTCCTCAGTTACCAGGCCCAACTCATGGTAGAGTTAGTGGCCCCCTTTCAGATAGGGTGCTGACTGAAGCCACAGCCCCCCCACACACACACCGTTTCAGATAACCACAGTCTGCTCACCCTCTCTGGTGCATTTATAACCTGTTTGGCTTCTCCCTACTCCCCTGGCCTGAGTTTTCTTTCTCTCTCGTCCTCACCCTCATATATACACACATTCCTCTAAATGAAACTTATTTGTGGAAACTTTGGGGAAAATTTATATGTGATGACGACTGTGTTTATGTTTCCAAAGCTCCAGAGTCTATGGATAAGCTCCAAGTACAGTACTGTCACTTTTGCTCAGAAAACTTACGGGAAACTAATCCTTTTGTACTGAATATACTCAAAGATCTGGATGAAGAAATTACAGAGAAGTAAGGAAGATGAATAAATATTCAACTATATCAAAAATACTCACTGATGATCATTTCTGTGAAATTCTGGACCATTCAGTGGTTTTATTCCCATTTCAAGATGGCTTGGTAAAGTAGACATAGCTTTTGATTCAGGGAAATAGATAGATGTGGGACAATTTGAGATCCTAGGTGAAATAGCTGTCTTTAGGGAGGGCTTTGGACCAGGAGCTTTCAATCCGGGCCCCTGGAGCTATCTCTGTTCCCCTGAGCTCAGTGAATTCAGGCATACCCTTTGTCCTGGTTGTTGCTGTTGTTTCTGTCTTGTTTTGTCAACTTCACCCAAGTTAGATTTACCTGGAAAGAGGCACCACAGTTGAAAAACTGCTTCTACCAGATGGCATGTATGAAGGTCAGTGGGGAATTTTTCTTGATTAATGATGAATGTAGAAGGGCTAGCCAGCTGTGGGTGGTACCAACCATGGGCATGCTGTCCTGGGTGGTATAAGAAGGTTGACTGAGCACACCATGAGGAGCAAGTTAGTAAGCAGGGTTCTGACATAGCCTCTACTTCAGTTCCAGCCTCCAGGTCCCTGCCTTGAATTTCTACTTGACTTCCTTCAGGAGTGGAGTATGACCCAAGAAATAAACCCTTTCTTCTCCAAGCTGATTCCGTAATGGTGTTTATCACAGCAGAAACCTAAAGTGTCTTCAAAGTGTTCAGTCTAAAGTGGGTTTGATGGTTAGCTTCCTCAACTTGATACAATTGGGCATCACTTGGGAACAATGAGGAGTTTTCTACATTTGGTTAGCCTATGCCCATGTCTATGGAGGATTTTCTTAATTTAAGTTAATGACTGTGGGTAGACATAGCCCTCTGTGGGCAGCATCATTTCTTAGACCAGGGTCCTGAATTGGATAAGACTGGAGAAATCAAGCTGAACACATGAAGCAACTGAGAATGCATGCATTTATTTCTTCCTACTCTTTTTTTTTTTTTGTTCCTTGTTTTTTTTTTTTTTTTTTTTTTTTTTTTTTTTTTTTTTTTTTTTTTTTTTTTTTTTTTTTGGTTTTGGTTTTGTTTTGTTTTGTTTTTGATGGTGGGAGTGTTCTAGACAGAGTTTCTTTGTGTAGCCCTGGCTGCCCTGGAACTCATTCTGTAGACCAGGCTGACCTAGAACTCACAGAGATCCACCTGTCTCTGCCTCGTGAGTGCTGGAATTAAAGGTATGCACCACTACCTGGCCTTTGTCTATCCTTGACTGTGGGTAAGATGTAACTAGCTGTTTAAGGCTCCTTCCACTGTGAGTTCTCCTCAGGGTAGATGACTTGGAATCAAAAGCTGAAACCAATGAACTCTCCCTTAAATTTCTTTCTTTTTTCCCCTTTATTTCCTTTTTGTTAGTTTGGTTGTTTTGACACAGGGTTTCTCTGTTTAGCCCTAGATGTCCTGGAATTTACTCTGTAGACCAGGCTAGCCCCCAAATCACAGACATCTGCCAACCTCTGCCTTCTGAGTGCTAGGATTAAGTGTACCAGCTGGGCAGTGGTGTCACAAACCTTTAATCCCAGCTCTCAGGAGGCAGAAGCAGGTGGATCTCTATGGGTTAGAGGCCAGCCTGATCTACAGAGTGAGCTCCTGGACAACCAGGGCTATGCCGAGAAACCCTGTCTCAAAAAACAAAACAACAAAACGGGGGTGCACTAACAGAGCCTGGCTCTTAAATTTCTTTTTGTGGGGATGTTTTGTTACAACAGAAATAAAAGTAGGACAGTGTGGTGTATGAGAGAAACTAAATGATGGGGAATTTAACTATGTTAAACTGGTTTGTGAGGTCTGTGGTCCCACTATTCACAAGCAACACATTTCAAACTTCATGTCACCGTTGTCCTCCTTATCACTTTCTTTGTCTTTTTTATTTTGACAGACCAGAAAAAGAAATCATATTAAACATTGCTGGGAACAACCGCTTACGGAAGGTACAAAGATTGACAGGTGAAGATTTTTGGCTTCTTTCCAAAGTTTTAAGGAACCGGTCATTGATCATTGGTACGTTTGCTTAAGAATAACGTGTCTGCTTTTCCTTTTCCCAATTTTTAGCATGCTTTATGAGGAATATCAGTTTATGTTCACATGTGTGTTTCAGGTCTAGATGTGAGGTATAACCTCATAAGCGATGTTGGTGCCTACTATGCTGCAAAACTGCTTCAGGTATTACATTGCCACCAAATAGTCTTGTCCATTGTTCTACTGAGGTGAAACCATGTGGATAAATGGCATACGGGCAATCACTAAATATGGAAAACACAAGGATCCTAAGTATGTATGTGTAGCTCTTGAATTACATGGGAATCCACTTATATTTGGTCTCAGCAGAGCTGATACCTGGAGCTCCTGAGTTGTCTTTGGCAAACCATAGTTAAATACTGAAAGATGTCCATAGATTCAGTTGTTGGTGAAACTGACTGGAGTCCTTTCCTTTTGATGATATTGCTACTGCAGTGTCTAAAAGAAAAAGGTAACTTCCTTTTTTTTTCCTTAGTGATTGCCTTTGTTGGAATTTTGTTAGATTTTATAGGAGATGCTTTTAATTAAATTGTTGCACAGCTTAGTCGATATCCAGTAATACAAATGTAATAGCTCCTTTCTCTCCTTCTTATAGAAACAACCACACCTTACTTACTTAAACCTTATGTTTAATGATATTGGACCTGACGGTGGAGAATTGATTGCCAAAGCACTGCATGTAAGCATTGATATACCTCAAAGTAGTATTTTACCTGTGAATTTTAACTTCCTGTAGTTTAGAAATAACATAACCAAAGTTAATGTGTGCTTATGTTATTTCAATTTTGTGTGCAGGTGTGTGTGTGTGTGTGTGCGCGCACGTGCCTGTGTGCATGCATGCATGCGTGTGTGTGATTGGATGCTTTGCCTGTATATATGTTTATGTACCACATGCATTCCTGGTACCTGAAGAAGCTAGAACAGGGAGGCAGATCCCCAGGAACTAGAGTTACACATGGTTGTGAGACACCATATTGGTGCTGGGAATTGAACCCGAGTCCTCTGGGAGAGCAGTTTTTTGTTTTGTTTTGTTTTGGGGTGTTTTTGTTTTTGTTTTTGTTTTTAAACTGATGAGCCATCTCTCCAGCCCCAAAGATTTATTCATTTTTATTTTATGTGTATGAGCCTGCATGTTTGTGTACCACATGTGTGCCTGGTGCCTGCAGAGGTTAGAAGAGGGCATTGGATCTCCTGGAACTGGAGTGACAGGTGACTGTCAATTACCATATGAGTGCTGGGAACCAAACCTGGGTCTTTTGCAACAGCAGTAATTGCTCTTAATCACGGAGACATTTCTTCAGCTCCTTAAATATATAGTTTCAGTATGGTTCAGTTTATAAAAACTGTGGCTCTTATTTGAGAACGTTGGACTCATTGGAAAAAAACTGCTAAACAGCTTTGCTGGGTTATGGCGGTACACACTTATAACCTCAGAACTTGGGAGGAAGAGGCAGGAGGGTGGCTGAGTTCAAGGCTAGTCCAGGCTACATATGTAAGATCTTGTCTCTAAATGAATGCCACTGTCTCTCTGACGTCTGACTGCAGTACAGTAGTAACCTTTCATCCCTGCTGCCATGCCTCCCCCATCACGGTAGACTGTGTTTCCCCATCTGTGAACCAGCCACCCTTTGCTCCTTGAAGTTGCTTCTTGGCAGGTATTTGGTCACAGCAAGAGAGATGTGAGCACTACAGAAACTGCTACTGAGACAGTGTTACAGTAATAAACCTCTATAGGCTGAAGGCTTTTTAGAACTAGTCTGTGGAGGGAATGTAGAAGCATTTGGAACCATGAGTAGGTTAAGTGGGGTTTAATGAGCCACGGTGTTGAGAGTTTGGAAGCCCAGGGTGCTGGTAGCAATGTGGACATTGAGATGGCTCAGTGAGGGCTGGAGAGAGTCTTCTACTCCTAAAATTTCAAGTGCGGCTGAACTCAAGAGTAATGGCGGGAACTGTTCGGTGGAGGCGATTTGAAGTGTACAGGGTATGCAAAGTGTGCAGGGTGTGCAGGGTGTGCACAGACACTGCTCAGTCAGGGCTCTCTGTCAGTGCAAGACAGCAGAAATACGGGAGAGAGCTACAGCATGGCACGGGAAGGAGTGAGCATGGCTATAGGACTGGAGACAGCATGAGCTGACAGAGTGGCTGGGACTAATAAGGCAGGTACCATCTTAAAGAGAAACCTCACACTTTTCACCATACTGTAGAAACATTGCCTTGAATGCAAGACTGTTGGGTGGAAGACTCCAGGATGTTATCAATGTAAATTCATCTGAGAGTACATTTCCTGAAAAAAAATACAGCCTTCAAGGGTACCCTTTTGGAAAATGGGCACCTAAGGAAGTTTTCTCCCAGGTCCAACTATGAAGGCAAGCAGAGGCTGCTGTGGTCCAAGGAGACCAGGCTATATCGTGAGCTGGCAGCAGAACTCAGGGGGCATCTTCCAGGTAGTGGAGTCTTTGCAGGCATGCAAGACACAAGTGTGGCAAGTTTGTGAAGACTTGCACCAAGGTTCCAGAATGATGCTGGGCCATACAAAGAGTGACAGGGGCAGATGCTCTTGTGGGGCTTCTGAGCTGTGAGTGAAGGTATGAGGGGTGGAGTCTAAGCAGCAGTGGAAAGGCAGGATATTAAACATACCAGAAACATGGGATGTGTACTGAGGAAAGCTGCAGGCACAAAGGGAGCCAGCCCTTGAAAGAGGCCAGAATTGCCACAGGGAACAGAGCTGGAGGCCACATGCTGGACATGCAGCTTCAGGTTTGACCTTGCCGTAGTCTGATCCTTCCATGTCCGCTCATGTATCTCTATTGGAATGGGAATGGACTTGGTACCACTGTATACAGGAAGTGTGTAACTTACTTTCTCGTCTTGCAGGGGCTCACAGTTAAAAAGAGCACCTTGAGGCTCAGAGCAGCTTTAGACTTTGTAATAAAGTTGGAACTGCTAAGACGTAGGGGGGATCATGGAAATGCACTCAGTTCGTGATGCTGATGAGACGGCCATGTGCCTCCGAGGACCAGTGCAGTTTATAAGTGGTGTGTTTAGGTATCAAGTTTAAGTTCATTGTCAGCCTGACTGGACTTAGGACCACACAGGAGTCACAGCTCTGAGGTGTCTGTAAAGCATTTGCAGAGTTTAACGGAGGAAAGAAAACCTATCATAAATGTGGGTGGCTGCATTCCATGGGCTACGGGATGTAGAGTGAGTAAAACATGGAAAGGAGAAAGCCTGATGAGCCCCTGACATTCATCTCGTTTTGCTTCCTGACTGTGGTTGCAATGTGACCAGCCATGTCTCCAAACTGAACTGGGAGCCCACACAAGCCTTTTTCTTCCTTAGAAACATTTAACACAATTGGTTGCACAAAACATCCTCTCTCAAAGTTTTCAGTTCAAGGAAAATTTTTAAAAGTATATTTAGAGAGGCTGGGAATGGTGGCACATGTCTTTTATCCCTGGTGTGTAACGTGAATAAATAAATGACCCAGAGACTGATATTGGGGTTCAAACTTCACCTGGACATCAGAAAAGCAAAGCAACCAGCCACTAGCTCTCACTTCTAGCTCAGGCTGAAAGGGCTGATCCACACATGTGCTCTTTACCAAGTCTCAAGCTGCTGTCTTTCCTCAGTGTGGCTGGAGAACAAAGGTCTGTCTGAGACCTTGCTTCTGTCTTACATACTTCCCTAATGTTGGGATTAAAGGTGTGAGCTATTATTCTCCTTTAGACTGATTCACTCTGGGTGGCCTTGGATTCACAGAGATCCATCTATCTCTTTTTATTTTTTTAAAGATTTTATTTTTATTTATTATGTATACAGCATTCTGCTTCCATGTATATCTGCACACCAGAAGAGGGCACCAGATCTCATAATGGATGGTTGTGTATGTGGTTGCTGGGAATTGAACTCAGGACCTGTGGAAGAGCAGTCAGTGCTCTTAGCCTCTGAGCCATCTCTCCAGCCCCTCCATCTATCTCTTAATCCTGAGTCCTAGGATTAAAGGTGTGTACCATCACCTCCTAGCTTCTGGTGGCTTTTTTTTTTTTTTTTAATTATAAACTGTTTGGCTGATGGCTCAGGCTTCCATTGGCTAGCTTTCTCTTAATTATTAACCCATTTCTATTAAACTATGTATCTCCACTTTGTCTTGGCTTACGGTGATACCTGGGCCTCTTGCTCCCTGGGCAGTTACATGGCATTTCTCTGGTGGTTTCTCTGCCTTCCTCCTCCCAGTATTCTCCTAGTCTGGTAGCCCCACCTATACTTCCTGCCTGGCTACTGGCCAATCAGCATCGACCAATAGGAGAAACATATATTCACAGCATACAGAAGGACCTCCCCTATCCCACAACACTTGTGATGTAGAGGCAGGAGGATTTCTACTCCCCAGCCTTTGCAGCCACTAACCATTTATTTCATATGAATAGAATCATATAATTTATGGCTTAATATTTTCAAGGTTCATCAATGTTGTAACATAGTTTGAAATTTTTTTAGTGTGTTTGAGTGTTTCGTCTGCATGCATGTCTATGCACCATATGCTTTCTTGGTTCACTGGGAGGCCAGAAGAGGGTCCCAGGGTCCCTGGAATTGGGAGTTATGGATGGTCATGAACTGCTATTTGGGTAAGCAAACTTAGATCCTCTGGAAGGGCAGTCAGTGTCTTAACTGCTGAGTCATCTCTCCAGCCCCATAACAGATTTTTTTATTGTTCAGTAATATCCCATTCTGTAGTTATATCACATTGTGTTCATCAATAGACATTTGGGTTTTTACATTTAACAATTATAAATAACACTAGTTTGCACCTTCATGTTTCTATGTGGACAAATATTTTGGATTGGTGGAGGGTATAGTAGTGCTTTCTTGTTGGGACTGCCAGCCTGCAATAGTGATAGAGACTTATTAATTATGAAAAAAATAAAAAAAAATTATGAAAGCTTGGCCTTAGCTTAGGTTTTTTTTTTTTTCCTCAATTAGCTCCTACAGCTTAAATTAACCCATATTTTAAACTATGTTCTACCTCATGACATGGTTGCCTCTTCTCAGTAGGGCACGTCCAACTTGCTCTGATTCTGCTGGTGAAATCCTGCCTTTCTTCTTCCTGGAGTTCTCTCTTTGTCTGGAAGTCCCACCTATACTCTCCTGCCTAGCTATTGGCTGTTCAGCTTTTTATTACACCAAACACAGCAACACATCTTCACTCAGTGTACAGATATCCCGCTGAACAGGTACATACCTAGGAGTGTACTTGCTGAACCATGTGATAGCTCTGTGAAACATTTTGAGGAACTGACTCTTTTTAACAGTTCTGTTGACAACGTGAGAGTTCTGTGCCCTGCCATCCTCGGCATGAGTGTTGCTGTCATCTCAGTCCTAACCATCTGAGTGGTGTGAGGAGGCCCCTGACACCTCAGTCCTAACTATCTGAATGGTGTGAGTGAGGAGCCCCCAGTGAATAATATCTTAATATCTACCAGTGATCTCATGTGTTCTTCCTTGGGGGATCATTTGTTCAAGTCATTTGCCCCCTTTGAAAGCCTGGATTTTGTCTGTTTTGAGATGACATCTCACCATTTTGCTTAGGTTAACCTTGAACCTCTGCTCAAGTGATCCTTTGGCTTCAGTTTTCTGAACACATGGGGCTAGAGAGTTGTACCCTATAGCTGGCTGGTGGTCTTTTGGAGTTGTAAGTGTTCTCCATATATTCCAGATACAAGACCCTATCAGATTTGTCATTTGAAAATATTTTCTCTCACTTACTTGATGTTCTTTGGAACAAAACTTTTAAAAATTGATTTATTTTTGTTTTCTGTGCATTGATATTTTGCCTATATGTATGCCTGTGTGAGGGTGTCAGATCTCGGAGTTACAGACAGTTGTTAGCTACCATGTGGGTGCTGGGAATTGAAGTCAGGTCCTCTGGAAGAGCAGTCAATGCTCTTAACCACTGAGACGCCTCTCCAGCCTGTGAAACAAAACATTTGATTTTGACAACGCTCATGCTTATTTAGTCAGTAGGATACTTATGCCTTTAGTGTTCTATCTAAGGCAGCTTTGGCTAACTTGAATTTGCAAAGATTTACACTTCTATTTGATTCTAAGGGTTTTCTTTTACTCACCCATTATGACTTAATCTTTGTATATAGTGTGAAGTAGGAGTCTTAAGTTCATTCTTTTATGTGAGGATATTTGGTTATCACAAAGATAAGCCTTAAAAACACGATTCCTTCTCCCATTCAATTGTCTCGGCACCTTTTTCAAAACATCAATTGGGAAAGAGAGCAAGAAGAAGGTTATATGAGAAGGTTTGGAGGGAGATAAGGGAAGGAGGAATTACTTTGTCATAATCTAAACAAATAAATTTTTAAAAATTGTTTAACATAGCCGGGTGGTGGTGGCACACGCCTTTGATCCCAGCACTCAAGAGGCAGAAGCAGGCTGATCTCTGTGAGTTTGAGACCAGCCTGGTCTACAAGAGCTAGTTCCAGGACAGTCTCCAAAGCTACACAGGGAAACCCTGTCTCAAATAAATAAATAAATAAATAAATAAATAAATAAACAAACAAACAAATAAAATTGTTGAACATAAATGTAAAGCTTGTTTCTGTAGTACTTTCAGGCTCTGTCTTCAGCTAATACCATGCTGCCTGATTCTTTCTTTTTTTAAAAGATTTATTTATTTACTTTTGTATACAGTGTTCAGCCTGCATCTATGCCTACCGACTAGAAGAGAGCACCAGATCTCATTACAGATGTTTGTGAGCCACCATGTGGTTGCTGGGAATTGAACTCAGGACCCCTGAAGAGTAGTTAGTCTCTGAGCCATCTCTCCAGTCCTTAATTGTTAATTGTAGTTTTTTAAAATGAAGATATGAGTGATATATCAGTAACAAGTTTTCAAAATTATATTGATTCTTCTGGGTCAATTGCATTCCCAGACAAATTTAAGAGTATTTTGTCAATTTCAGGAAGAAAAGCAGCTGGGGTTTCTGACTGTAATTAGTTATGTCTATAGATAGTGTGGGGATCACTGTTATTTTAACAATGCCAACTATGGCAGTCTTTGAACATGGGATGTTTGCACTACTCAGCTCTCTATCTTCTTTGGAATATATGGCAGTTTAATTATGAAGTGTGCAAGTATTTGTCCTGTTTTGTTAACTGTATCCCTCATATTTTATGCATTTTGATTCTACTAAAATGGAATGATTTCATTTTTTAAAGAGGGTATCACTATGTAGCCCTGGATGGCGTACAACTATGTAGGCCAAGCAGGCCTCAGACTCGGAGATCTGCCTATCCCCGCCTCCTGAGTGCTGTGATTAAAGATGTGTACTACTACACTTGCCTGGAATTATTCTTAACATAACTTGGGGTTGTTCATTTCTACAATATAGAAATAGAATTGATTTTTAGGTAAACTTTATATTCTGCTTTCACTGAACTTACTGGTTGAACAGATTTTGGGGGTGGACTACTTAGGACTTTTCATATATAGTATAAGACCATGTACAATGTGACTATTTTATCCTTTTCTTTCCTTATTTATAGCCTCTGGATTTAATTTTGCTGGTTTCCATGTTTCTAGGAACATACTCATTTTTTTTCAGACTTTCCAATTTGTTGGAATTTGCTTTCAAACTGTTCCTTAGGTTTCATCTTAAAACAAAACTTTTTCATCATCTCTAGCTTTGTTGAGTGTTTCTTTTGGCTGGTATGACTAAGGATATCTTACTCTTGTTCATTTTTTCAAATAATCAACTTTTTGTTCAACAGAGTACATGCATTATCCTTTTAGTGTCCATTTTATCACTTTTGGATTTGGGTTTGTTCTTGCTTTTCTTGTATGTGTGTGTTGTATATATGTGTGTGTCCAGGTGCATGGAGGCCAGTGGCTGATGTTATGTCTTCCTCTACCACTGGACACCTCATTTTTGAGACAGGGTCTCTGGGCCTTCCACATTATGTCCAGTAGTGTTTGTTATACAGTACACTTGCAGTCACTGTACATTCCTGGTGGAGTGTTCCCTTTATGATTATGAAGTGGCTTCTGTCTTCTAAGAGTGGCTTGAGGGCCACTGTTTCCAATGTTATTTTCAGTGTGCACCGATCTGTTCAGTCCTGCGCCTTTGCTAATGAGATTAGCTGCTTTCAGACAACAGTTGGCTTTTTGCTTTTAAGATGTACTTGTTCTTATAGTTTTATTTTACCTGCATTTACTGCTCTTGGACCTGGGTTTTGTTCCCAGCACCTACATAGCAGCACATGCGACTTTAACTCTAGTTCCAGGGGATCCAATACCCTTTTTTGGTTTCCATGAGCACCAGGCATGTACATACATACAGCCAAACGCCCATACACATAACATAAAAATGGGAGTTGGGGATGTATCTCAATGACAGAGCATTTGCCTAACACAGTGGTTCTCAATCTTCCTAATGCTGCAACCTTTTAATACAGTTCCTCATGTTGTAATGACCCCCAACCAAAAGATTATTTTGTTGCTATGTCATAACTGTCATTTTTCTAGTTATTAATCATAATGTAAATATCAGGTGTGTGGGATATCTGATATGTGAACCCTGTGAAAGGGTCATTTGACACCCTTGTGGGTCACAACTCACAAGTTGAGAACCACTGGCCTGGCACATGTGAAGCACTGGTTTTGATTCCTCCCCCCACCCCCCACACAAGCAATGTGGGAAATGGGGACTGACAGCTGGATACAGGGCTCCTTCAAGGGATGATGGGAAGTGTTTGGGAACTAGCTACAGTATTGCCTATACAACATGGTGAATGAAGTCAATGTCATTGAACATTTTAGAATAGTCTGTTCTTGCCAGGTGAATTTCAATTCAGTAATACATTCTTCCTATGGAACAGATTTACAGAATTTCCAATGAAAGAATATTAAATTTATTTTATTTCCTGGGTATTTGTTTCTTGGTCATTCTTTAAAAATAGTCAGCTATTATGAGAATTTAGACATTACTTTTACAGAATATGTCCTACTCTTTCTCTATAAAAATGAGTTTGTAAATAATAAGACTTTCTGACTCATTTAATTGGGAATTTTGTGGATTCAAATGGAAGCAACTAAGTTCTGATTGTTTCTCTCTTCCAGAAAAACAGAACTCTCAAATACTTGCGAATGACTGGAAATAAGATTGAAAATACAGGCGGCATGGTTTTTGCTGCAATGCTGCAGATTAACTCATCCCTGGAGAAACTGGATCTGGGTGACTGTGATCTGGTGAGCTGGTTCTGAGAGTACTCATGCAGTGGGCTCTTCTACCAGGGGAACAGCAGGGTGGGGTTTCATCTTGTTTGTTCTGAGCAAAGGTCTTGCCATGTAGGCCAAGCCAGCTTGAACTCATTCTCCCGCCTCTGTCTCCCAAGTTCTGGAATTGTATGCGTGAATGCTGCTACTCTGACAAGACATTTATTATGGTTACTCTACCCCCGTGGGAAATGTGGTTTTCCATTCCCATAGTAATATAGACTGTTAATTAGATTATAGGGACTGTAGAGATGGCCCAGGAGTTAAAAGCATTTACTGCTCTTATAGAGAATTCTGGTTCTGTTCCCAGCACCCACATGGCAGCTCACAACCATCTGCAACTCCAGTTCTAGGGGATCTGGTTCCTTTTCTGGCCTCATCAACACTGCATGTGCATGGTGCACATACATACATACATGTAGTCAAGGCAACTGTACATAAAATAAAGTTTTAAAAATCATATTACAATAAACACAATAACTAGCATAATAAAGATATTTCTGAACTCAATGCATAACTCATCTTAATCTGTATGTGACTTACAGAAAAAGATATGCTCATTTAAACTCAACAAATACTATTTCCTCAGTATTAATATAGATTTCTTCTGATAGAAAATATTTTGCGCTGGGCATTGGTGGCGCATGCTTTTAATCCCAGCACTCGGGAGGCAGAGGCAGGCGGATCTCTGTGAGTTCGAGGCCAGCCTGGTCTACAGAGTGAGTGCCTGGGTAGGCTCCAAAGCTACACAGAGAAACCCTGTCTCGAAACCCCCCCCCCCAAAAAAAAATTATTTTGCAACAAGTATGTTGTACTGTGAAAGTTGTGATGATGCTAACAGCTGCGGTAGGGGCTTCATCCACCAGGTAACAAGATCTGCAATTTTTTACATGTCTTCAAATGCTAAATTTCACTTTTCTTGAGCATGTTTTCAAGTCTTGAGACCTTTAAATCTGTTGTATAACTTCAGATTAATGCCAAATCAGTAGGACACCAAATCTGCAATGGTTTGGAGGGATATTTTTAAAGATCAGAATGCAGCTAGTACAATCCTGGGAAGTTGAGTCAAAGTTTACTGCTTACACACACCAGTCACTTGAGATACTAAAAGGTTGCAACAGTGAATCTGAGATGGTCTCTGCTTTCATGAGGCTTTGAAATTTACTCGGGGAAATATCAATCAACAGAGGAAAGTACTTGAAAGAAAGTCAACTACTCTGATTGGGAAGAGGTAATTTTATTTGATGAGATGGATGCCTAAACCTGAGCAGGTAATACTTAGGAGTCAGGAAGACTGGGGGTTACAGAATGAATTCAAGACCAGTATGGACAAATTTTCTTAAATTTTAAGAAAAATTTAAAAGGGCTCAGTTTGAGTTCATGCACAAGAGCTTAGGTTCAATTCTCAGTACAGCAAAACATAAAACCCAAGTAAACAGAATGGTATTAACTAACCAGTAAAACAGTACTAAACTTGGCCGGCCGTTGGTGGCGCACGCCTTTAATCCCAGCACTCGGGAGGCAGAGGCAGGCGCATCTCTGTGAGTTCGAGGCCAGCCTGGTCTCCAGAGTGAGTTCCAGGATAGGCTCCAAAGCTATACAGAGAAACCCTGTTTCGAAAAAGCAAAAAAAAAAAAAAAGGAAAAGAAAAAGAAAAAGAAAAAGAAACAAACAGTACTAAACTTCTCCATAGTAAGCTATGTCACATCACAAGGTAGGTGATGTGTGTAAAAGTACTGTGTGCCCTCAAGAACACAAGTTCATGGCAAGGTTGTGTGGACAGATTGTGGGGCGGAGAATAGAAGTGATACAAATGCAAACCATGGGAAGGCTTAAAGCTGAGGGACATGATCTGATTAATGCTTTAAAAGATCTCATTTCTCTATGGGAAGTGGAGGGCAGCAAGTAGAAGCCAACAGGCTATCGGGATAGCTGCTGCAGCCATCCAGGTTTGCGACGAGGAGAGCTTGGGCAGGAGTAACAGCCACAGAAACACTCAGAGATTAACTAATTTGACATCTTTTGGATGTTCAGACTTACTGATAACTGGATGAGAGGCAGCAAGAGAAAGCCATTTAATAGCATAGCAGGCTGTATGTTTAAATCACAAAGATAAGGGAGGACAGGCCCTCCAGTCAGAGACTTGGAGAGGCCTACAGGAACTGTAAAATTGTCCAACAACCTTCCCAGTTGCACTCACTCAATGCACCAGTAAGAATATCAAAGAATGGGCTGGAGAGATGGCTCAGAGGTTAAGAGCACTGGCTGCTCTTCCAGAGGTCCTGAGTTCAATTCCCAGCAACCACATGGTGGTTCACAACCATTTATGAGATCTGGTGCCCTCTTCTGGTCTGCAGGCATTCTTGCAGGCAGAACACTGTACACATAATAAATGATTTATATGAAATATATGAATGGTTGCACAAGGTTATATGTATATGAGATTTAGCTGGGATCCATGGGTCTGTCTCTTCATTTGTGGGGCTCCTAAAGGACTTAGGAGCAAGGCCAGAGTCACACCTAGCAAACAGGCACTAAAATGTTAGGAAACCCCCTAAGCATGCTGCAGACTTTAGGGCAGGGTGGAGGAATATGGTAACAATTCACTCCTAAGAAGAGATGTTTTAACCTTTGTATAAACAATTATCTTGAAATTGTAATGCAGGGACACACTACTAACTTCCTTGATGGATTTACCTGTTTGTAGGGATTGCAAAGTGTGATAGCATTTTCTACAGTACTCACTCAAAACCAAGCAATCAAGGGGATAAACCTGAACCGACCTATACTGTATGGAGAACAGGTCAGTATTCAAAGTGATGACAGTGTCCACTGGACTAAGGCTAAGGTCTACTGGGGTTTGTGGTGCACGAATACACCACACTCTTAGGATTGTCCTATTATATTTAACTGCAGCTTGTAAAGTATGAAAGGAAAATTATGCCACTTCTTGGTGACTTGTATACATTTAGCTGCTGTTACTTAAGCAGCAAGCTTGTAAAACACAGATTCTGTGTAAACCTGTGTAAGACAGTTGGACGAAAGAAAGAATGTGTGCTTAAAAGTTTCATAAGCCATGTAAGCCCAGTGTCAGCTGTTTTATCATTTGTTCTATGGACACGGCTGAACCATTGCATCTTGGAACACCACAGTGCATGCATATAGTTTGGGAGGCCTGAACTTGATCCCTTCCATACATTAAGGTTCTTGTTGGAGGCAGATGAAAATGTGGCTGCCTTTTTTTCACATCCCTCTAGGTGGGATTCTTCTCCTTAAGGAAATAAAAACTTGGATCGGCAAGATGGCTCAGGGGTTAAAGAGCTTCTGCTGCCAAACCTAATGACCCAAGCTCAGTTTCAGGGACTGAGTGGTGGAAGAACCATACTCATTTCTGTATGCTGTCTGCTGAGCTCCACACACGCACAGTGATATGTGCATGCACACGCATATCCACCCCCCCACAAGTAAAACGTAAAAATAAAAACCCCTAAAATTTATAGGAATAAGAACTCATTCTATTAAAGGTCTCAACAAGAGAAGAAAAGAACAGTCCACAGCATGAGATCTAGTTCAAACAATGACTTGAAGCTTCACGGTCCAAATAAACCTTCAACTTCTAAAGCACTAGCCATAGTTTAGAATTATCTGTCCCACTGTTCCCCCTTTCTGTTACTGGGAATTAAGCATATTTTAAAGTGCTATTTTTCATATTTGGCTTCCGCAAACACCAGACACACTCACGGTACAGGTACACAGATAAACATGCAGCAAAACATGTATACACATAAAATAACTAAATCTAAACATTTTTTCAAGATGAGTAAAACAGTATGATTTGTTCACAAAGTATGTTACAGGGACTTCTTAACAAAATGCTTTGGCCCACTTAGGCTTGATTTTGATAAAAACTTAAAAGACTACTTGGTGTTCAAATTCTCACTGAGGAAGAAAATGTGTGTATGCACATGCATTGCATTTACCCAGGAACAGCTAGACTTTAACATCCTTTAAACATCCTTTAAAGTTCCTAGAACTTTAAAAATGAACAAACATGTTCTGGAACTTGCAAGCACTATAAAAGGAAGGAAGGCAGATAAAACAGATTGAGAAACGTCTTTGTGTCTTAAGCCGTCAAGATGATGATCAGTGACAAACTCAGGGACGTACTGAGGGAATGGGGAAAGGTTACACAAGTAAGATTTAAAAAAAAATAATGCTTTGCTGGTTTTCCTCTTAAAATAATTACTATTGTCACTGTAAGCCAAATTAACCAACTTCTTTTTAAGTCACTCAGTTACTGCTTTTTACAAATTCCTGCTACCTGAGAAGGTACACATTTCATTTGAACTACACATAGTGCCACGTGTCACAATCCCAGTGCTCTTGGGAGACCTAGGTAGGATGTTGAGTTCCCAAGTCAGCCCATGCTATGAGGTTAAGACCTGGTCCACTCCTGTATGCTCCCCTCACTAACACACACACACACACACACACACACACACACACACACACACACACACAGATATGATTTGAGGCAATAATGATATTTTTATTTTTAACACATATATGTCAAGTGAAAATGTGATAGACTCTAATTTTGTTGTGTGTATGTGTGTGTGTGGTATAAGCATGAATATGTGAGTGTGTGCCTGTGAGGGTGTGTGCAGAGGTCAGAGGAGGAAGCCAGAGGACAGACAGAACATAAAGTTCACTGTTTGGATTAAGCTAACTGGACATGCGCTCCCATGATTTGCCCGTCTTTACTAGCCAACATTGAGATTCTAGGAATATGTGGCCATGCCTTGCTTCTGTATGAAGACTGGGAGTTTGAACTCAGGTCCTTATACCCAGTGAGCCATATCTCTAACCCTAAACTAAGAGTCTTAATAAAACTTTTGTTTTGTTTTTTGGAGACAGGGTTTCTCCATGTAGCCTGGCTATTCTGGAACTCACTCTGTAGACCAAGCTGGCCTTGAACTCACAGAGATCCCCCTGCTTCCCAAGAGCTGGGATTAAAGGAGTGCACTACTGTTGCCCAACCTTTCAGGGTTTTTTGTTTGTTTGTGTTTTGTTGTTGGTTTTTGTTTTGTTTTGGGTTTTTGGAGACAGGGTTTCTCTATGTATCCCTAGCTGTCCTAGAACTCACTCTGTAGATCAGGTTTGGCCTTGAACTCACAGAGATCTACCTGCCTCTGCCTCCTGAGTGCTGGGATTAAAGGCATGTGACACCACTACCTGGCCTTGTCTCGTTTTTAATGTAGTATTTTTAATAAACTAATTTAAGGCCAGATGTGGTAGCACACACCTGTAACACCAGTCCTCAGGAGGCTGGGCAACAGAGCCAAAACACCGAGACCAGCCCGAGCTACCTAACAAGACCCTGTATCAAGAAACAAAACAAAAACAAATCCACCTAACTTTAAGAAAATATATGCTCTTGAGATGGACAAGTAATACTTCAAACTCAGAAAAGATCTATTTTTAGGAAGAGTCTACAGTTCACATGGGACACATGTTGAAAGAAAATCACTTCCTTGTTGAACTGCACTTGTGTAAACATGACATGAAAAATTTTGGTATGCAACAGTTGTGCAACGCACTGTATCTGAACAGCAGCCTACGCTACCTTGATGTCAGCTGGTAAGTGATAATTTATATGATAATACAAAGACTAAGTCTTGAGGACAGTCCACAAATGTTCATAATATGTAAAATACGTGTAGGAGATTATCAACTGTTGGTGAACTTTTATCGTAAGCTGTAGGGTTTATTAGGTTAGCTTATACTGCAATATATCTGTAATAACTTGATTGCTAGACAGATGGGAACATTATTTCATGGAGATATTTTTTAATGTTGTAATAGGTAATTTTTAAGGATTATTTATTATATATACAGTTCTGCCTGCATGCATGACTGCCTGCCAGAAGAGAGCATCAAATCTCATTATGGATGGCTGTGAGCCACCATGTGGTTGCTGGGAATTGAACTCAGGACCTCTGGAAGAGCAGCCAGTGCTCTTAACCTCTGAGCCATCTCTCCAGCCCCACATGGAGAATTTTTATTCTTGAAGTTGAGCAACCTAGCTGGAAATAGAAAACTTACTATATGGTTTCAAGTATCTTATGAATGTAAGAACAATACTTTGTTTTTAAAATATTGCTAAATATGTTTTCTTCCCCAGCAATAAAATAACCCGTGATGGAATGGTGTATTTGGCTGATGTACTGAAAAGCAATACTACCCTGGAAGTAATAGATCTTTCTTTTAACAGAATAGAAAACGCAGGCGCGAAGTACCTCAGTGAAACTCTAACTTCCCACAACAGGAGTCTTAAAGCGTTAGTATGGCTTTTATATTTAATCAAAATAAGTAAAAAATTCTAAGTAGTATCTTTTAAAATTGAATGAATATAATGCAAATTCATGAGAAAAATTTCTATTTCTCTATTTATGCATGTGTATTCACTTGTTTATTTACACATGCACCAAATGTGTACACACAGGCCAGAAGAGGGATCACATCTCCTGGAATTGGAGTTAGACATGACTGTGAGCTGCCTAAGGCAGGTGCTGAGAACAGAACTTGGGGCATCCGCAAGAACTGTAATTGCTGCTAAGCTACCTCTCCAGGCCCCAAAACTCTTACTTATCGCAAACTCAACAGAAAATTCAAAAAGATTTAACATGATACTTGTATTTGTAATCTACTCAAACATTTACCAATAGGGGTTAGAGAGATGGCTCGGTGGTTAAGAGCACTGGCTGCTCTCCCAGCGGTCCTGAGTTCAGTTCCTAGCAACCACATGGTGGCTCACAGCCATCTACAATGGGATCAGATGCCCTCTTCTGGTGTACAGCTGCACATGCAGACCAAATACATAAAGAAAAGGAAGAATGGAAGAAAGAGAGAAAGGAGGGAGGGAGGACAGAAGAAAGAACGAAAGAAAGAAAGAAAAAAAGAAAGAAAGAAGGAACGAGTGAGTGGGCTATGTTTCATATGTTTTCATATGTTGGAACCTTTCCTGGGTACACGACACATTCAATAAAAAAACAGGTTCCTTGGATTAAAGCTCCTATATAGCCAGTACTTGGATCACCACATTAAAACATGTTAATAAAATGGATTTAATAAGTGTTGATGCTGACTTGAGATTCTTTGTGGGGCTTCAGAATTCAATGGTTATTTTTTCTTACAGATTGTCTGTAGTCAGCAACAAGATAGAAGGAGAAGGGCTTGTTGCACTTTCACAGTCAATGAAAACAAACCTCATATTATCTAATATCTACATTTGGGGAAACAAATTTGATGAGGCTACATGTGTGGTAAGTGTTTTCAATTCAGACTTTTGTTGGGCTCTGTGATACCTGTTAGCTCCTTTTACAAATGATTTCAAAGAAGGTGTCACACTATACTTTGGGCAATCTTTAACTTAAACCCTAAAAAGTAGCGGCTAGGGAAGATATCAGATGCCATATACAAGTATTAAGGATCACTGAGTCACACAGTTTCCCAATTCCTCCAAATGAAAACAAAAATTACAATTGATTTAATGTAGCAAAGTTGTTCATGTGTCAAGATGAGGAATCAGAGAGAAGCTGTGCAGCTGACCTATGCTGAAGCATCCCTGCATCTCTGGGATGAAGCCTACTTGTCATGGTGGGTGAGCTTTGTGACGTGTTCTTGGATTTGGTATGCAAATATTTAACTGGGAATTTTTGCATCTTTGTTCATAAGGGAAATTGGTCTGTAATTCTCTTTGTTGGGTCTTTATATGATGTAGGGAGTGGGGTACATGTGTCCTACTCCTTTTGGATGCTGTTTTGTTGTTGTTCTAGAGCTTTTAGGTGTGGTGTTAAGTTACTAATGAGACCTCTGCAGCTTTCTGATGTAGGCATTTAGTGCTATGAACTTGCCTTCTTGGGTCCATAGGTTTGGGTATATTGTGTATTTTCATTTTCATTCAATTCTAAAAAGTTTTCAATTTCCTTCTTCATTTCTTTCTTGACCTACTTTTCATTTAGTAGCAAGTTGTTCAATTTCCATTAATTTGCAAACTTTCTGTTGTTGTTAATGTAGCTTTAGTTCATGGTAGTCTGATACAACACAGGATGGTGTTTAAATTTTTTTGTATCTGTTGAGAGTTGTGTTCAAGTATGAGGTCAGTTTTAGAAAAAGTTCCATGAGCTGCTAAGAATTATACTACTTTAGAGACAGAAAACATAGCGATAAAAAGCTTTCATTTGAAAAGAGAGGAGGAAAAAAAAAAGCATAAGATTTGTAAAAGTTCTGGCCAAAAATAAACGTTCCATAGTTTTCAGAGAAACACTCATGTTCTTTAGAGTTCCACACAGCACAAGCTGTATACAGACTATGGAACCAAAAATAATGAAAAGCTACAACAGAAAGCAAAACCAAACTTGGAAATCTTTTCATGTCAAAATTTCTCCCCTATTTTTCTACAATGTCACCTTTATTCACAAAACAGCTCACAAGTATGTACGATGCCCTTAACATACACACCAAGATGCCATAGGGACACATAAAATTCTACAATAAAAAAATAATCAATAGGTCACCATCTAATACTACGAAATTGTCTTTTTTTAAAACTAAACTTCCATATTGACTTCAGGGGACTCATCAACTGAACTCCATATGGGGTTGTTTATTTATTTGTTTGTTTGTTTATCTGAGGTATGAGGCCCTACTAACATCAGATTTATTTGAGGGAAACAAGATTTTGCTATGTAGCTCAGTTGGTCTTGAACTCAGCCATCCTCCTGCCTCAGCTTTTGCACATGGGCTCCACACTCTGCCTACTACCACCTACCTCCTCTTAAGAGCACATGAAAAATCTGACCATGGGTCACAAAATTGGTATTATAGGGAATTAACTCAGAGATTCACCATAGGACTTACACATGAAAACATGCTTTATATGTGAAAACTTAGAAGTTAGTTTTATAATATTATACTTTCATTATGTATAACTAAATAATAAAATTTACCTATATCTGGAAAAATACTAAAATTCAGCAATATTATTAAGAATATTTTAATTTACAAAACAACACAGCTAAACTGATTACTTATTTGCCAACTACTGTAAACTGAATAAATTATATTCCTAATGAGAGTTTTCTAAAATCCTAGGCATATTCAGATTTGATGAAGAGTGGCCGGCTAAACCCAGACAATACAGATGTGGAACCATATGAGGTGGATGGGCATGTCTACCTTGCAGAAGTCTCCAATGGTCTTAAAAGGCATTATTACTGGACACCAACTTATGGAAATCCTTATGATTATTCATCTTCTGCAGGCTTTGCTCTTGTTCCAGTAGGCCAACATCTATAAGAAACAAGCTTGAAAATAGTTTTCACACATTTGTCTCATCATTTTAGAGACTAATATTTTATAGTCCATTTTCTTCTTTTATAAAGTAGAACAAGTTACTTTTATCAAATTTGTTAAACTTTGTGTACTTGCCTCTTGTTGAGAAAACAAACAAATAAACAGATTCTATATAGAGACTACAAACTATCAATCCCAAAGAAACCATGGGACTATTTTAATTCTTTTTATAATGAAAAACAAGTAACAAACACAAAAACAGACAGCGGCATAAGCAGCAAAGGTCACTACAGAAGAAAGGAGGCAGCTGGGAAATTCCCAGGGGATTTCAGGAGATTTCCAAGTCTAAAGTTCAAAAGTATTCCACACAGACTTTTAGGTGTTAATACCAATAAAACGAGAAAAGAAAAAAAGCTTCCTCACATAGACAGTGACTATCCTAGGTTATACACCCTTTCTGTGTCTTGCTCTTGTTGATTCAGTATTAGTACAATTCACTCATGTTATTCAGTGTAGCTGTCTGTAGTTCATTTCTCATTGCCCCGAAGAAGCATTCCATCATAGGCTGAGTAAGAATCTACATGACTCTGTAAAGAGACAGCCTTTCAGGATTAGATATTCAAGTATCCCTTAGTGATGCAGTTTGCCTTCTTAGGTCTCAGTCTACTCCTGTGTGCTACAGTAGGGCCCAAATATTTGCATATTCTTATGAAGGGGGATGTAGAAGATAGCTGAAGGGACAGCAAGTAAGCTTGCCTGAGCCTACTATGGGAGGTATGTGATCAACCTGGGCTTCTGAAGATGGCGCCTAATTGAGCTGTCCACACCTCACCCAGCTGAGGTCAGTTCAGCACACAGCTACTGACAAGGAACCAGCTCATTTTCAGGAAAGGTTTGATGACACAATTTTACAGGTCACTGTTTACTGCCTGAGAGGCCAGCAGAATGCTCAGACACATTTATTTATTCTGATGCTATCATCATTTAGGCCCCTTTATACATCTGGACACCATCTGAGAGATAAGGTAGAAAAGCTTGCTTCCAAAAGATGAGCTGGCTAATGAGAGTAGGAGGAGAAGCTGTCTCCCTCTAGGCTAACCCTTAGGCAAGGACTCAGGAGACAGACAAGTTCCGTAGAATTCTATTTCCTCTGTACATTGTACACTGAATTAAAATGACAGCACATTGCATGGCTTCTTCTTCCCTTTTAGCAATTGTCTTTTAAGATTCTGCTTGAGTATAGCTGACTACAGTCATGGATCATTTTATACTAATAATGCTTTAACTCTGAAGGCAAAAATGAAGTAGCACACTAAAAAGGATCTGAAAATAAAGATGAAATAGAAATGGCTGAGCAACACTTCAATGTTCAACACTTTTAGTCATCAGAGAGAAGCAAATTAAAACTACTTTGAGATTTCATCTTCTACTGGTCGAAACAGGCAAGGTCAATAAAACAAATGAGAGCACATACTGCTAAGGATGTGTGATAAGCGGAGCACTTATTTGTTGACAGCGGGAGGGCAAACTTGTACAACTATTATGGAAATCAGTGAGGCTGGGGATAGACCTCAAGATCTGGCTATACTACACATGGGCATATCTCCAAAGGACTCTACGTCCTGCTACAAAGACATTTGCTCAACCATGTTTGTTGTTGCTCTATTCATAATAGGCAGAGATTAGAAACAGCCTATATGTCCATCAACAGATGAATGGACAAGGAAAACATGGTATATTTTTCCAACTGAATATTACTCAGCTGTTAGACAAAATTACAAAATTCTCAGGTAAATAGACGGAGCTAAGAAAAAAATCCTGAGTGAGATAACCTAGACTTCCAGAAAGCAGATACAATATGTATGTTTTATATTAAACACATTATATTAAATGTTATGATGGCTATTCTTGCTTGTCAACTTGAATTACTAAACCTCAAGCAGCTGGGCACACCCATGAGGGATTTTTCTTGATTAGATCATTTGAAACAGAAGATCCTTAGATCATTTGAGGTAGAAGATCCACCTTAAATCTGGGCCACACCTTCTGGTGGCAGCTTATATAAAGGACTTGGAAGAAGGAAGCTTTTGCTCTTTGCCTGCTTGCCCTCACTCTCAATGGCAAGCCATTGTTAACTAGTCAGGCCACAGCCTGTAAGCCACTCAAATAAATCCCATATATATTTTGATATCATATAGATATGGATATATATTTATGAATATATACACACACATACACACACACACACACACACACACACACATATATATATATATATATATATATATATTCATTCTATCATGTGTTTTTCTAGAAAACCCTGACACATAAATGGACATTAGCTTTAAAGCCTTTGACGTGTGTGTTACAATCCATTGAACCAGAGGTTAGGTACCTAGTAAGGGACTAGTGGGTTGGAGAGGATCTCCCAAGGAAAGGAGAAATAGAATATATTGTTATGAAGAGATGGGGAGGGGAACCTAGAGTGGGAGGACTCAATGGGAAGGAGTGAGGAAGAGAGGGGTAAGGGAGGGACAGCTAACACTAAGAAACCAACTACTGTAGATGCTTCCTAAAATACATATATGAGAGAAATCTAAATGAAGTCACCAAACAGAGGAGAGGATGCCCCAACTAGACATATTCCAATACCAAGTGAAACTTCCAGTGCCAGGAATGGGTTACATATAATTCAGTTGTTGGCCAAAGGGCTCTCTGGAAACCCCCAAACGACTCAAGCTATTGCCAAGACTATTTGGTTGCTCTCTACAAACTGATGGTAAAGCCCTATTGCTGAAGACAACACTTACATAGGTCATGGAACACAAACCTAGCTAGGGGCTTTACCCACACTGATTAGCATCCATGGTGCTAAAATGTACTCTGCACACTACTTCAGGAGAGAGATGATCAGCAATACAGCCACAAAGCCTTTGGTCTACACCGGTGACCTGACTGCAAGATACAGTGGTTCAACAGTGCACAAACACAACGGGGAGTAACCAGCCACTCTCTGAATGGATTTAAGGCCCATTTCATGAGATGAAATTCATGTATAACAATACAAGTGGTCAAGGACTTGAGACTGGATAGGTCATGGGCTTAGTAGAAAACCAAATACTACTGTTCTGCTCAAGAGACACAGCAATACAATGACCTAATGGAATTCTGCTATACCCATAGATCAGTGTAGAATCTACCACTCAGCCATCATCAAAGAAGCTTCTTGCAGTAGCTGGGAACTAACACGGAGACCCATACCTGGACAATATGAACAGAGATTGTGAGGCACACAGTCCTAAATGGGATGTTTGCATCAAACCCTCCTCCCCTCAAGGCTAGAGGAGCTATGCAGAAGAGGAGATGGAAAGATTACAAGGGCCAGGGTGGGTGGATGACTACAAGGGAACAGTATCCTCCAGATACAACAGGACTGATGAAAAGAAGAATTCAAACACTGTGGCAGCACATACAGGGCCTGCACAAGTTAAAGTTAGATGGTCCTAGTGCTGAGGGAGTAGACATGGGCTCACATTCCTAACCAAGAAGCTATCTGCGCCGGGCGTTGGTAACTCACGCCTTTAATCCCAGCACTCCGGAGGCAGAGACAGGCGGATCTCTGTGAGTTTAAGGCCAGCCTGGTCTCCAGAGAGAGTGCCAGGATAGGCTCCAAAGCTATACAGAGAAACCCTATCTTGAAAAACCAAACCAAAAACTAGATTTAGCGGGGCATTGGTGGCACATGCCTTTAATCCCAGCACTTGGGAGGCAGAGGCAGGCGGATCTCTGTGAGTTCGAGACCAGCCTGGTCTACAAGAGCTAGTTCCAGGACAGCCTCCAAAAGCCACAGAGAAACCCTGTTTCGAACCCCCCCCCCAAAAAAAAGAAGCTATCTGCTACCAACATCCACTTGCAAAGGAAAATTAAGTTTCTTCAATGGAGACCCACTGGGTATATTAACCACACTTCAAGAGAGGCTCCATGCCCAAATCTAGATGGCCAACACAAAAAGAATGCAAAAGGATGGGCAGTAGTGGCACATGCCTATAATCTCAGTACTTGGGAGGCAGATCTTTTGAGTTCGAAGCTAGCCTGGTCTACACAGAAAGTTCTAGGACAGCCAGAGCTATTAAACAGGAAAACCTTGTCTTGAAAAAGAATTCAATGGTATTTTTTGTAGACTATTTGTCTCAAATTGCTTTGTTTGGGTATTTTTCTGTCTTATTTGCTCTTTTGCTGTATATTTTCTTTTCTATTTGTATGTTTCCTTTCTTTCTCTCTCTCCTTTATTTTGTTTGAGAGAGAGAGAGAGAGAGAGAGAGAGAGAGAGAGAGAGAGAGAGGGGGGGGGGGGGGGGGGTGGGTAGAGGTATGGAGGATCTTGGAGGAGTTAAGAGAGGAGAAATCATCATCAGAATCATTGAATGAAAAAAGAAAAAAGAAACCAAACCTGGCAATGCTGACCTGGTGTGCCCTCCCTCCTCTCATTTTCATGCTGTTCTATGAAACTTTCACTGTGTCTTTTTGTTTGAGACGTGATCTCTTGGTTAAAACACCAGTGATCTCCAGTATGCTTCACTTCCTTTAGACTTAGACTTTCTTCACCGACTTCCAGGTCAATTCTGAAGGACCTTTTCATTTCCTTGGCTTACTTCTTTAACACTGCTGCATTTCACGGCCCAAATTCTTGGGAATGTGACCAGCTGCCAGTGGAGCACTGCTTCTCCTTAGTAAGGCACTAGGTTAACTGAGGTCACTTATATGGAATCACGTTACAAACCTGAGTGTTTAATCTCTGCCCTCCAGCAGTCAACTACCATGGGATGTGATATCATAGGTTATAAATGAGGCTAGCTAAGTCACCCTGTCCAAGAACTATTTCAAGTGAGTCAGTATGGATGCTGTGCTAGACATGGCTGTTACCTCCTTCTCTGCATTCTGCCTAGCTCCTCTTCAGTCAGCCACGTGTAACTTCTGTCAGTCATTTCACCTGTCTACCCAGGTGAACAATGGCCCTTTCTTTTTCCATTCACTACTCCTGACTGCTCAGACTCTTTTCTCGACTTCCTGTACTACACTCCTCAGCATTATGGCTTATTTTTCTGTTACTGGTCTTTCTCGATTAACTGTAAGGTGGGTAGAGTTATTTGTTCTTGCGTATGTCCTGGAAGATTATTATGTTTATGTGCTAAATCCTTGAATACAACAAATCTTTCATCAATAAATGGGGGCAGGGGTTGAAGAGGGCAAAAGAACAGACTACACCATAGTCTCAAGACATTAATGCAAAGTGTGGTGATGCCTAGCTTAAATCCCAGGACAGAGAAGTCCAAGGCAGGAAGACTGCTGTGAATTCCTGGATGATCTGGGCTATTTAATATATTCAAGCTCAACCTAGTAACACATAGCAAAACTTTGTCTGAATCTGAAAACAAAACAAAACAAAAAATCATGCTGGGTGGTGGCGGCGCACGCCTTTAATCCCAGCACTCAGGAGGCAGAGGCAGGAGTTCGAAACCAGCCTGGTCTACAAGAGCTAGTTCTAGGACAGCCTCCAAAGCCACAGAGAAACCCTGTCTCGAAATCCCTTCAAAAGAAACAAATCAATGCTCCAATCACTCAATTTCATTGTTATTCAAAATACTGAGTGAAAAATGCAGACTTTAATCTTTTTATTTGGTGGTATTTCTAGCCAAATAATAGACTAAAATCTCCAGGAAAAAGATAAAAAATTATAATCAAGAAGTCCATTGTTTAAGTGCTTCTCAAAGACAGAGCACCAAGAAGTGCTTAGGATGACAGTTCTTAATGTTTGGTACATGTTGAGATCAGCTGTAGGGGCTTTTCTACCATGTATCTGCCCCAGCACAGTCTGACTTGGTAGAGTAAGTTGAATTGGGTAGGGATATCATTATTAAACTCCATTTTGATAGGAGTAAAGGCATTACAACTATTGGCCTAGGACATTTTAAAAATTAGTGTATATAATTAACTACCTGCTTTAACTACTATGCTAGTACCATTTCTGTAGGATTAATATGGACAGAGATGACAAACTATTTTTGCAATGAACTGACAATTTTCACTGTTGAAAAGCTTTCTAAAATTGTCTACTGAAATAGTCCATGGAATTAAATATGAACACTATTCAACAGCCAAATTCATTTAATATATAATCTACAATTTCTTTTTTCTAAAAAGTCTAAAATCTAACACTAAAGTAAAATAATACAAATACAAAGTTAGAAAATAGTTTCTAAGATATTCAGCATATTCTGTAATACTTAAGACTCTTTCCCAAAACACTGTGTTATAACAAAATAAAAAAGCAACCCCAGTGATTCCTTGTGTTAGAATGATTACTACATATATCTAAAATACACACAGGTTTAAATAAGCAACAATGTAATATTAAAAAAATGGTCAGAGAGGACACTCAGTCTTTAAGCTTTCTTCACAGGTAATTCTGGAATAGCAAATGATAACTAAAGCCACATTAACTGAAAATAATTTTAGATAAGCAACCTTACCTATCCCATATTGCAATTATATGAAATAATACTGAAAATAACAAATTTAGAAGCTTTCAAAATGCTAATTACCAAGTTAGCTATTGTATCGCATGTCTGGAGGATGAGAGAGGAGAACCTTAGGTTACACAGAAGTCCTAGGGCAGTCTGGGCTATGAAGTGAGACTATCTCAAAATTTCAAAAGATAAATAAGTAAATGAACAAAAGGACTATCATTACATTTGAGGAAAATAGGCATTTTTTGCCCTCATAACTATGACACCATCATAGCAGTTTAAGGAATTTTTTTTAATCTTCTTGCCTCAACTTTCCAAAATGCTGTGATTACAGGTATGTGCTACAATGCCCACTTAACTATAGCACTTAAAGAAAAAATGTTCACTGGATATTGCAGAATATTTGTGTAACTATGCAAAGATGTGTTGCATTTGTTTCATTTTGTAAAGATGTGTTACTGATTTACCTTGCTGCCTAAGGTCTGATAAAAAGCTGAAAGGCCAATAGTGAGGGAGGAGGTATAGGACTTCCTGGAAGGGAGAGCAAGTAGGAATAGGAATTTAGGCTGGGTGGGGGGTGGGATGCCATGGGCTAGACAGACAGACAGACATGGAGGAAACAGGAAAGCAGAACATACAGAATGAAAGAAAGGTAAAAAGCCCCAAGGCAAAACAAACAGAAACAGGTAAAATTAAGTTAAAAGAGCTAGTGGGACAAGCATAAGGTAAGGACGAGCATTTATAGCTAATAATAAGTCTCACTGTCTTTATTTGGGAGCTGGAGGTTGGAGGCCCAAAGAAAAAGCCAACTACAATTAGATGCTTGGATTAATAAAGATGTAAATTAAACATAATCTCTTCACTCTGGCAAACTTATTAAAAAGGGTTGGCTCTTAATTTTCCTTCATTTTGTTACATTCCAGTAAATTTTTATTGATCTTAAACCAGAATAGATTAGTTGAACATTTTATAACCTTACAAATTTTATTCAAACTCAGTATAACATACACACATTTCTTAGCTAAATAATAAATTTATTATACAAGGTGGTATTTCATAATCTTTCCAGTTAACAGTTTCACTGGTGGTAATTTATTGTGAAAATGCTATGTGCTCTAAGAAATGGTGTCACTACTTCAGTCTGTAAGAATTGAGTGTTCTTATTATGTCTTCTAATTTCTGAGACTTGGACCCAAACAAGGAATTATGACTATAAAGAATTCAGTATCAGTAAACACACTGAATTTATCTCAGTGTAGTTTAAATTATAAAAACAAACAAACATAACATATTCATGGCATAAATAGGAAATAGTCACTATGACTTTTATCAGTACTATGGGAACTGACTCTCTGAAACTGATAATTTAAAATGTAAAAGGAAGGCAGTGAAATAAATTAATATTTGGGAATAGTGAGATGGAAAAAAAATGGCAGCAAGCATTTAGGATGGAGTGACACTGAATTCTCTATGTCTACCTAGAATGGAAAGATCTACTATGAACCTATAGCCAACAACCAAAAGTTGTAGTTTAATTTATAAAATTTAAAAACCTACACTTATAGAAAACTCAAATATAAAATGGTAAATAAATTGATAATCAAAAAGTGTAGCTTACAATTAAAAGTTAGAATAGTAATTCTATTTGTGTGTGTTTTGCTTTAGGCAAGCTACTCAAGTTTCTTGATTTTTCTATGGAATATATCAAATTCAGAAGCCAAGCGATTTCTAGTATGTATTTTATATCTAGAAAATTCTTTTTAGAACATTTATTTTAAAAAGTGCATAACTGATAAAAGATAGGCTTATCAAAAATTTTTAAACTTGTTATATTTCACTTCCAATAATCTACAAATCTAATAAAATATAAAATGAATCAAATTTCAAAACTGTCTTTTGACCACTTAAAAACACCAAATATCTATTTAAAAAAATATAGTCTCAACTGAAAACAGAAATTGATTTGACTATTGGTTTTCTCCAGAATACTGAGTTCATTCTAAATGAACAAAAATTTACATAAATTTTTTTCTGAGTTTTAAGAGAAATACTTCTTTTGGCTTCATTAGAAAAGTTACCTCTAAAGGAATATATTAATAAATAGCACAATTCATCCTTAGTATCTAAATTTTCATAGGAATAAATATGAAATTTAACCCCCCCCAACAGTTTACATACTGCTCCACAGGGTTTACAAACAGAAACACTTTGAAGTTAATATTACTGTAGATTTCGCAGTTAGGAGAGAACAACAATAAAAAAAAATCCACAGGTCAGATTTTACCTTAGGAACAAAGAAGTCTAAAATGCAAAATAAAAATGGAATTAAGGCAGCTTTAACAGTGTCTGAAACTTACCCTCCCAAAACAGTGCTGCCATAGTGGAAGTCACTCCTTGAAAGGCTGTTTACAATGATAGCCAAAATCACAACGAGCACTGATGGAAGCAGGTTAGGTGCTTTGACTTCCATGAATGAAAAATAATGGTCGCACAGCCCAGATGAATGGGGATTAATATGAATATGCATCTTACCAGGGATGTTTATGTTTACTACCAGGGATGTCTTATCAATTCCATGTCCTCAAAGTCAATATAACTGTTGTAAAAAAATCAACTGTGGTTCTGAATATCCATTCACAGCTGACCGCAATAGTGTGTCTGACGTGGGAGACTGGTTCTCCGTGACAGGCAGAAGCATATGCTCTTCAGTTCCAAGTGGAAGCGCTAAGGGTAGAGTCATGTCAGAAGGCTTCACGTCTAGAGTTTCTGACAAAGGACTTCTTTGTGTGGGGTCTTGTTCACTTAAAGCATGGTCATCTACACTGCAGTCTGGAGTTTTATCTGTACCTGAAATGGAAGTCGGAAAGTACAATGCCTTTAACAACACAAAACAATTGTCTGAGGAAAGTAATCCACTTACAGGTCCTAGAAATTACACTCAGCCTCCACATGTCCATGTGCAACCAGTTTCTCTCTCACCAGTGGGCCTGACGTAAGCTTGCCCTGATACTGCCAGTGTCGAGCATATCTGGGCTGCAAGAGCAGGTCAAGCACAATACCATTACATAGGTTTAAGCATTCTAAACCTGGGTGAACTTTTTCTCATCTCCCTTATCACATTCTTGTCAAATTTCATATTCCTTCCTGTGGCAGCCATTCCTCCTATTCTTGTTTAACACTCTATTCAGCCATGCCTTGAATCCCTAACAAGGCTAGACATTGCCTGAAGGTAAATGCTCAGTTAAACTTCTCTAATTCCTTCCAAATGCAGAAGGAAAGTAAAAGAAGGAAATCATTGTACACTGGTTATTTCAATAAACAGTTCATAATATTCTGTGGCTTTTATCTCCAGAGGTGAGAAACTGTTGGACTAGAGAAATTATCACACTGACTACAGATGCTCCTTTGTCTTCACTTTACTACTGGTTTTAACATGTTGCTGCCACCCCAAAAATGCTAATGTGATCTCGGTAGCCTCATTTGATAGCTAACAGTTCAAAATTTGTCTCATTAAATTGCAGTTCTCTGTATTCTTCAGTTTAACCAGTCAAGAAACAACCTGTGCTGTCTTGTCTTAGTGACTCATCACAATGTCCTGTGCTTGGACTGAACCCATCCTGCCATTTCCATCCTCTGAACTCTTCTCTCTTCAACTTCTGTAAAATAAGTCTTTTTGTTCCAGACAGCCCTCCCATTTTTGGATACCATCATTGTATATCCAAGTTGGCCTTGAACTTGCAGTCAGCCTGCTTTCCCTCATCATCCTGAGTGCGGGGACAGTAGGTATGGGCTACCATGTTAAACTTAAGCCCATTCTTGTTTTTCAGAAGAACTATCTTCTTTAGCACCTGTATTTACAATGTCCCACAATCTCTGATGTAACATTAAGGTCATAAGCTCTTGTTCAACTCCTTATGCTGTGCAGTTATGTGTACCCCTTAGGGTGGACTGTTGAGCAGACTCACTGCAGTTTTCAGATGTTTCTACTGTAATCCTTACAATGGCATTTATTAACATAATGTTTAGTTTTTAGTGCTGGATATTGTACCTAGGGCCTCAAATGCTAGGTGAGCATTCTACCACACCACTTTTTATCATCTACATGCTTGTGATACTTTCATCTTGACAGAATGCCATAAGTACAGGAAGTCAAAGGCCTAAAAGTCTGCAGTCAGCTTCCTATACTGAAAGAATATTTTTGAGCTACCAGTGTCCTATTTCCTTCCACATTTCTAGGTTGATCTTCACGATACCTCTTTTCTTCCTAACTACTGTCTGCATCACCCAAACTGCATTACCGAGAATAATGCTACTTACTTTACTTAGATATTTACTTTTGTTTTTGAAACTACTCACAAGTCATTTGTTCTGAGATAGGGATGCCCATGTAGCTCGCCTTGAGCCACAATCTTCCTGCCTCTGTCTCTTAAGTTTTGTGTGTGATATGTGCCACCATGCTTTGCAGCAAGTCATATTTTTAGAGGAAATAGCTGAAGTATTTTATTATTATTATTTTATATGTACAGGTGTTTTGCCTGAGGGACCAGCAGAGGGCATCAGAGCCCCTGGAACTGGAGTTACAGACAGTTGTGAGCTGCCATGTCAGTGCTGGGACTCTAACCCATGTTCTCTGTCTGGAAGAGAAGCAGTGCTCATAACTGCTGAGCAATCACTCCAGACCCTGAAGGTTTTTGGTTTTTTCTTTATTTTAATAAAGTTCAGTATTTCAAAAGAAGCAGAAAGAGGAATTTTCTGTAAATTATAAAGCTACTTTACGTGTGTGTGTGTGTGTGTGTGTGTGTGTGTGTGTGTGTGTGTGTATATATATATATACACATATATATATGTTTTAGTTGCTGTTTTGTTTTCTAAAATTACTTCATTTTGTTTGTTGTGGGTGTATGTCTGGTTTGTTAGTATGTATATGTATGTCAGGGGTCAACTCTCAGGGAATTGTTCTCTCCTGTTATCTGTGGGATCTGGGAACAGAATTTAGGTTCTGTTCCCAGAACATAAGGCATGAGCATAAGAGCCTTGAGCCCTGTTTTATTGGGGATTTTTGTTTGTTTATTTGTTTGTTTATTGAGACAAGGTTTCACTAGATTTGTAGCCAGGCTGGCCTTGAATTTGCGATTTCTGCTTCAGCTTCCTAAGTCCTGAGATTATAACCATGAACCACCACACCTGCCTACATCTAGTTTTTAAATACGTATCTAATTCACACTGCTGCAATGCACACCTCGGCATGTGAAGCACAGCACCAGCAGGGTGGCACATGATTTTAGCATATGCACTTACCAGAATGCACCTTTGTTTTATGCTTCTTCAAATTTTTAATGTCTGTGTAAGAATTTCCACACAATTCACAGATAAATGGTCGTTCTCCTGAAAAACAAGGTAAGAACTTTAAAAACTTAGTATTTTAAAAATTGTTAGCTGACACAAAACTACCAAATGTTGATGAAAATAAAGCAAAAAATGTTTTAATTACTTGTTATGACAGTAAGATGAGAAATCCTATACACATAGGTACACTTTTACTTTATAGAAAGTATAACCCAATTTTTGGAGAAATTAAGCATTTTCATTATCTGAAATTCTCAAAAAACAAAACAATCTTTTTTATTGCTATCAAATGCATACTAGATGCCATTCATATGCTAAAACCTGGCTATAAAGCTAGGGAAAAATATAATTATGATTTTTGCTCTCCTACACCTCACAAATGAGGAAGTCCTCTAAGAAAGACTGACAATATTCTACAATTATTTTCAAGTGAAAGCTGTTTAAGCTGAGATGTAGCTCTGAAACAGCCTGCAAGCCCAGCAACTGTAAAGCTCTGAATTAGCTCCCTAGCACCATGGGGTCAGGTGATGACTGCAGAACCACTTAATGCTTTGCCCCCAAAACCAAGGAACCGAGGCCATCCTATTCACATTACTCTGGGTAAGAATTATGAAGACAGGTTTTTGAAAAGAAATGAATTGTATCTTTAAAAAGCAGCATTTTCCTTTAATTTTTAATATAACATCTTCTTCAAACTATCTACATATAATGTTATAATAAGCAGGTTGATATTATGCTCTATTCTGAAAACTTGCATATAAGAACACCACTTTATAATTCTGATGGTTCCTTGGTATTATCTATTCATTTTTGATATACCTATTCAATTTAATGCAAATGTTTTTGTTTGATGGGTATTTGGCATATTTCTCGGAAATTCTGCACAATTCTTAACCAAATTTAAATTACACTCTAAAAAACTAAAAAGACAATAAAAGAAACAAATAAAAACCTGATATGTATACAGTAAAAACTTATTATCACCAAGTTATGACTAGATACTATATAGCCCACAATGGTTTCAAAGCCAAGGTTTACATACAAAGGAATTAAGAGAGAACAAAAAATGATACGTTCTCCCTAAACACAGACCTGTATGGGATCGAAAGTGTTTGTTGAGCTCTCCTGAGGAAATAAAACTTTTCCCACAAATACCACATATGTATGGTTTTTCACCTAGATGGAAAATAAAAGATAGCCAAGTGGTGTACTATACCATATAATAATTATCAACTACAAGTGATCTAAAGTAAGGTTTTAGAAATACCATCTATATGAAAGCCTTTTACATCGTATCTTAGAGGCATTTTCAGTAATCTAACATAACAAACTATCACTTTAAATATCTATCTAGCTTGATCCTTTTCACACAATAAACACTACCTGTTAATATCTCTTCTTTCCCAGATCTCCTGGGCTCTGTGCTTCTAAAGAGTAACAGCATGTTAAATTTAAGCCACATTTCAAGTCCTGCTTCTACTTTATCACTCATGAAGAATATAAACATTTAAGGAAGATTGTACTTAGCAGACCACCTTACAAATGAAGAGTCTAACCAGTACACTTTGTTTCAGAACTGGTAATCTGCACTTGACGAATCCGTCTATGGTGCAAAACTCAGAATGTCTATGCAAAGGAGGTTCCAAATCACAAAACAAGTTTCCTACCTAACCCACCTCCCACATACCTTCCCTTTTACATGCTTACTCAAAGGAGATAAATTCTCAGAAAAGGCTAACAAGACAAAAAGTCATAAAGACATGTCTCAATTCAATTTATAGATCTTCAGAATTATTTTACTTGAACAAGTATAACTACAAGATAAAGTTTTCACCTACCTGTATCATTCTAGAAAATGTCAGATTTTTAATCTAAGAGTTATGTGAAAATCACAAACACAGCTTCAAAAATACCAATGTAGAAATCTAATTAAGAAGTCTATAATCTACCCTTTGTAAGGGCCCAATTCCCATTTGTCTACAACCTTACTGCAACCAGTCTCTCCATGTTAACTCTTACCTGTATGTTTCCGAGAATGAGTGATAAGGGAACTAGAGACAGCAAAGGCCTTTCCACAGGTGTCACACACATAAGGCTTTTCTCCAGTATGCCTACGGACATGATATGTCAGTGTGCTGGCTTGGGCAAATCTCTGCCCACATCTATCACAAACATATGGCTTCTCTCCACTGTGTTTCCTGTTGGTAAACATAAAGTAATGCAATGGTAAGTAAAGCCATCTGGAAGTCAATGCATACACAAAGTATTTCTTACATAGTTTTTCATGCAGCATTTTATTTCATCTTAACAGGCTAAGACTACATATTTAAATTCAATAATTGTTTCTATGTAAAACTCTGCCCCCCCAAAGAAATTTTTAGGTATCAAAACAGTAGCTCTAAAATAAGTTAAACTTTCACCATCATCATCATATATAGTTGTCTTAGGGTTTCTATTGCTGTGGTAAAGATCATAACCAAAAGCAACTTGCGGGGGATGGAGTTTATTTCAGCTTATATTTCCACAACACAATCCATCACAGAGGGAAGTCAGGGCAAGAACTGAAGCAGAGACCATGGAGGAATGCTGCTCAGCCTGCTGTCTTGTACACCCAGGACCACCTGCCCAGGGATGGTACCAACCACAGTGAGATGGAACTTCTCACATTAATTGTTAATCAGCAGAAAATTTGGAGCCAGTGAGTTGGCTCAGTAGGTAGAGGTGCCTACTGCCACCTACGGTTGATCACTGGGTTCACATTATGGAAAGAGAGAAGCAACTCCCTCAGGTTGTCCTCTGGCCTCCACATGGATGCTATCCACTGTACAGGTATACACAAAATTATCAAAAATGTAATTTAAAGAAAGAAAAGTTCCATATCATAGCACCATATGTACTTATATATCTTGTTTTCTTTCTGTCACTTGTTCAGCTAAAACAAATTCCCTAACTCCAGGTGTTAATAGTTTGAGTCTAGAATGCCCCCTAAAGATCAAGTGCCATAGGCTTGGTCCCCAGCTTGTAGTAGTAGTCAGGAACTAGGAGTGATGGGAACTAGTAGATGGGGCCTTGTTAGGAGAAATAGACCACTGAGATTATACTTCTGAAAGATATATCTTGTTCCAAGTCCTCTCTTCAGCTTCTGCTTTTTGACTGCCGTAAGATGAGCAGTGCATTCCACCATGCCCTTTCTGTCATACTGGTTTGCCTTACCTAAGGCCCAGAAGCTATAAGGCCAATAGATCATGGAGTGAAACCTCTGGAACTATCTGCCAACATAGATCTTTCCAATTTTGGACAACTGCCTCAGAGACTGTCTCATTAACAGCTACTCAGGAAAAAAAACAAAAAAACAAAAAAACAAAACAGTACCAGGAATGAGTTCATTGTGATTGTATCCTACAATATGGTCCAGAAGCTTTTAGAATTGACTTTAGGAATCAGGGAAAGTTTAGAGATACAAGTTAGAGAAGCTCTAGGAAGATGCAAGCAGAGCTTACTGGATCATTCTGATATAAATTCAGAGGACCACAATTCTGACAGAAATGTGGATAGGAGCCAGGAGTAGGAATAATGGACACCTGTCAGTAACTCCAACACTTGTGAGACTGATGCAGGACCATTAAAGGTTTGAGGTCAATGGGACTACAAGTTCTAGAAAGGGGAGAGAGGGAGGAATAATAACAGCAAAGGGAATATGACAATAGACTATGCTCATGAGTTACAGAAGGAAGAAATACTACCAGGAACTGAACTTGAGAACAATTTTGCATTCTAGCAAATAACTTCTTTAGGTTTTATCCATGATGAGACTCTGAGCTGGAACAATCCCCCATTCCAAAAGAGAGGAATGAGAAAAGGCAAGGAAGATGAAAGCAAGGTGAAAACCTGGTAGGGCAAACATCAAATGATCAGCATGGTGTAATGTGAGGCTTGCTCTGGGTACTCATAAAAAATGGACTCATTAGATTACAATAATTAACTGACTTGAAGGTCAAACAACTCGGGGGTTTTTTGTTTTGTTTTTTTTACCTTGCATGAATCTTGAGATTGCTAGAAGTTGCAAACTGTAAATTGCACACATCACATTTATAGGGTTTTTCCTCACCATGATGCATGCGACTGTGGAAGACCAGCTGGCATTTTTGAGCAAATCCTTTATCACACAGTTCACATTTGTATGGCCTTTCCCCTAAAAGAACAATAACATTTGTATTAGGAAGGAGAAAAAATCCTGTTTTACTTGTTAAAGTCATAAACGTTTAAGGCTTTTAAAAGTGCAAACAGTATTGGTTTTTGTTTTCAAAAAATGGTAACTTCTAAGTAACAAAAGCAAATGGGATGTCCTTCCAGACTACTGAAAACATTAGTAGGAAAGAAATGAATCATCACAGTGAAAGGTGATCAGCATGAAAAACGTATAAAACACAAAACTAAGTGTATCGATGGGTGCTCGCTCACAGTTTGCCAGAAGGTCATACAAACAGGCAAACAGAGAAGCTGAGAGAAAAAGATGTTCAAACACCAGTAGAGTCTAGGAGTACTGGTGATATGTGAAAATTGGACTGAGTTTTAATATGTGTCTCCTTTAAATACTTTAAAAGTTAGAACCAAGTCAGGCCTAAAGGCACAGGTCTATAATCCTAACTACTCTGGAGGCAATTGACAATCTAAGACTTATACAGCAAGTTCAAAGCCATCTTGAGCAACTTAGCAAGACACTATCTCAAAATAAAAGTCACAAGGGGAAGGGGGAAGGGCTACAGCTTAGTAGCGGAGTACTTGCACAGCATGCTCAAGGCCCTAGGTTCAATACCCAGCCAGGGCCAGAGGTTAGCAACAAATTTATGCTTATTATGAGAGAAAATGTCTAAGGACCTGGGGCAGTAGAACTTAAAATGTTCTACTATTAAATACTTGGTTACAGTTACAAATAAGATTTTAAGAGTCTAATGTGAAAACATTTTACAAATAATATGGCAAATTTTGTGGAAAGGCAGTCAGTGCTGTGTGCTAATATCATCTATATTGGTTGGAGATACAACTTAGTAGTACAGGCTGTGCTCAGCTGAGGCCCTGGGTTCAATCCCTAGTACCAAACAGAACAGAAAACAAGAGCAACACAAAATCATCACACTGCAGGAAACAAACCAGTCTTACCTGTATGGGTTCTTACATGTGTTTTCAGCTGGTTACACTGGGTAAAAGCCTTTCCACACAAGTGACAGACATAGGGCTTGACTCCTTTATGTATTCTCATGTGCCTTCTCAAGCTGCTGGCTTCTGAAAACACCTTCCCACATGTGTTACACATTGGCTTGGCCTTTGAATACCTTGGATCCAGCTCTTCCCCAACAGTCTCCAGTTCATAGGGACTCTTTACACTGGCTATATTAGACATGGAGTGTTCTTTCAGAGCACAGTGTGACTGGGACTTTCCACGTTTCCGTTTGACTGTAACAGTTTGCACAATATCTTGTGCTGGAAAAGTATTTTCCGCAACTGAGGTCAACTCAAGTTCTGAATTATCATTTCCTTGGATGACTTGTTCCACTACAGGTGGGGACAACTTATTTGTATCTAGGAATAATTCAACAGATGTACTCTCTAAAGCATCACTGGGATACTGCACTGATTTATTCTGCCCTGGCTTCTGGGAATTGAAAGCCTTTTTCTTCTTTTTACTTTGAGACGATTTCTTTGCCAATGCTCGTTGTTTAGGATTTGCCTGAACTAAGTCTGTGGACACGTCTGACTTCTCCCGATTGTTATAATCTCGAAGAGTAAGAAGACAGGTCTGTTGATTCAATTCGATGTTTCCAGTAATACTAGATATTTCTGTAGAAGAGGGACTAGCAATAAAAGCAAAATCTTCCATCTTTATTTTACATTTAGTCACTACCTCTTCTACTTTGAGATAGTCAGCAGCCTGATGAATTTCTTTAACATTCCAACTGTAAGGAAACAAGGCTAGATGACAATATTCTGATCAAAAGAACACCTGAAGCAACTACACATATACTTGAATGTCTTTTAAAGAAATAATGAAGCAGAACTCTGGAAAAAGTTAACTAAGTAACAAATTTATAAAATAGGAATTTGACAGAATGTTTGAGTGGTATCACCAATTTTATAGATAGATGTTGATGAACCATTATAGAATAACAAAATGCTATATTTTCTGTCTGATTAAAAACACACACACACACACACACCTTGGGCGTTGGTGGTGCACGCCTTTAGTCCCAGCACTCGGGAGGCAGAGGCAGGTGGGTCTCTGAGTTTGAGATCAGACTGGTCTACAAGAGCTAGTTCCAGGACAGCCTCTAAAAGCCACAGAGAAACCCTGTCTTGAAAAACCAACACCAAAAAAAAAAAATAAAACAAAAACAACAAAAAACTTGAATTGAAAAATGGTTGCTGGGTGGTTAGCAAGCTGGCTCCACAGAAGCACTAGCTGAGCAAGCCTAGGAACCACAGAAGGAACCAAGGAACCACATAAGAGCCGAAGTGATGGTGCATACCTAGGATCTCAGCACTCCTACACCATGATTTGAGGCAGAGGCAGAAACAAGACCCTGCCTCAACAAGAAAGAAAAATTAGTCCCCAGCACTGTCCTCTGACATCCACATGTATGCTGTGGTACACACATGTGCATCTGCACTCACAAACACATACAAATCTGTTTTGTCTCTTTTTAGATGGGTCTCACTATGTAGTTTTAACCAACCTGAAATTCACTATGTAGACCAGGCTGGCCTCAAACTTATAGCATTTACCTGTCTCTGCCTCTGAGTGCTAGGATTAAAGGCGTGCATACCATGTCTTGCTATTTTTTGGGTTTGTTTGTTTGTTTGTTTTGCTTTGTTTTTTATGTTGTTGGCAATACACTACTTCCTCCTGTTTCCTCCAAGGCTTCTTCAGATGTCAATCTAGTTTCCTAATTCACCCTTCTGCCCTGTGAGGTACTTTTTAACTATGCTTCTCTAACTTTACTGTCAATATGAATCATGGAGTGGTCTTGTTAATGAAGACTGAAATTCAGCTGTCAATGACAGTGCGAGAGAATCTGCAGCTGTAATGCTGTAACTTACTATCCACCAAGAACGGTACCAAGGGGGGTATTAAGAAATAGACATTTACAGTACAGAAAAAGGGTGATTGGAATAGTTAGTACTGGATCTAGCATTCTATGAATTAACCAAGGTGAGGCTGCATCACTGGCTTAAAATCCCTAAGTTTTAAAAACAAGAGTTTAGTTGGTATTAATAATTATTAATAAAATTGAAGTGTGACATCTTGAGCAGACATATAGATACGAGTAACCTTCCCAATTGCCATTTTGCCAAGTGTTACTTGGTTACTAAGATGGCTTCTCTTCTGTTTTCTTCCTTGTAAGTCAGAAAAAGGCTCCAATTATAGTTAATGACACATGATGATAATACTGTTGCTGCTTTTTAAAGAGGGGATAAAATCTGAAGTAAGATTTAAAAAAATAACCACTATATTGATTGTCTGGGATCTCCAAGACTATAGCTTGCATGTATACTGATCTCTACAAAATGCTGACCACCATCTATCTAGTCACACCTTTGTCTCCAGTGCCACCGAGATGTACTTTTACCTCATTTAGTTTTCTCCTAGCTATTCAAAATTGTTTTTTATGACAATCATTTTCAACTCATTGTAGGCTAACGAGCTATATGAATGAATTTGGAAACCTAGTCACTTGTTATTCTCTGGGAAAACCCATTCAAGTTTTTAAAAATTATTGCACATCAATTATACATCAGACAGTGTGTCTGAGTCTCTCCCCTAGATAAGAAAATATTATTCAAGATGTTATTTTCTTACTGGCTCATTGTGGTAATTTTTAGAATATATCATGAATCATTACAATGGAGTTAATTCTCTATTTGTAAAAACAAAAAGTGTAAGTGCCCCAAATATATATTAGAAAATGTATTCTCTAATACAAACTGTACTTTACATTTATGTTACACCATCACCACTGATGATAAACATTTCATTATATATATTTTCATAGAATAAAAATAAAATTTACTCTACCATTTAATGTATTTAACTAAACTAAATCTATTGTATTTAACTAAACTAAATCAAAGTATATTTGTGCTTTGTGTTCCATCAAATGAACCACCAAACAGATAACAAAGTAAAATAAACTCTTAATGCTAACAAAACTAACAATAAGCCACATACTAACTGTATAATGCCAAAACAATAATTTCCACAAATTATTCCACAGCGTATAATTTCAATTAAGATACTGGGTGAAAAAAACAAAACAATACCAATCATAGTTTTACTTCAAAAATTGATCTTGGGGCTGAGGAGGTCAAGTGTTCTTGTTGCTCTTAAAAAGGACCACAGGACCGGGTGTTGGTGGCTCATGCCTTTAATCCCAGTACTCAGGAGGCAGAGGCAGGTAGATCTCTGTGAGTTCAAGACCAGCCTGGTCTCCAGAGTGCCAGGATAGGCTCCAAAGCTACACAAAGAAACCCTGTCTCAAAAAAAAAAAAAAAAAAAAAAAGGACCAGTTCAATTCTCAACACCCGTATCAGGTGGCTCAAGTTCCAAGGGACCCAGTGCTCTTTTCTGACCTCCAAGGGCATCCACACATGTACAAGTACATGAAAATAAATTAATAAAACAAACTTTTAAATGTGTTTTTGTTTATATTCATGAAGCTACAGTGCCCCCCCAAGAAATTAAGTAACTTGTTAGAACCAAGAAATAACCAAGGCAATCTAACTCTTAAGATCACTTAATTTTCTATTATGTTGCTTCTTTCCCTCCCTCCCTTTGGTTTTTTTTTATTTGTTTGTTTGTTTGTTTTAGTTATTTATTTTTTGGGCGGGGGGGGGGCAGAGGGGGAAGTTTGGGGGGGGGTCGGAGAGATGGTTCAGCAGTTAAGAGCACTGGCTGCTTTTCCAGAGGACCTGGGTTCCATTCCTAGCACCCACATAGTGGCTCACTCCAGTTCCAGGGGACCCAACACCCTCTCTGGCTTCCATGGGCACCAGATATGCAAGAGATACATAGACATACACATAGGCTAAACACCCATACACATGAAACAATGTTTTTTTTTAATGAGATACATTTTTGTTAATTATGTACATGTGTATGTGTGGAGGAAAGTGTTTATGAGTGCAGATGTCCACAGAAGAGGGCATCAGATTCCCCTAGAGCTGAGGTTACAGGCAATTGTGAGTCACCCTGAGTGCTGTGAACTTAACTAGCATCCTCTGCAAGAGTGCTGAATGAAAATGAGTAAGTAAATAAATAAATAAAATGGAAGAACAGGACTTCTCCCAGGTATGATGGAAGAGGTTTATTGTAGATAAAAGGGAGAACATAGCCAGAGTTAGGGACACTCTGTACAGTCCAGAGTAAACATGACTGTGTTTGGAGGGGGGGGGGGCTGCCAAACAAGAAGAGCAGCCTGGGCCAAGATGAGAGGCAGAAGGAGTGTGAAAGGCCTGGAGGGAGAGGACAGAAACAGAGAGGATGCTCATCAGTGGGACCAAAGGTTTAGTTCGGCTTCTGGGAGTGAGGCAGCGTTTTGATGGCCAATAGGATGTGAGACAGGGAACCGAAAGTGTAAGGGGAAGAAGGCTTGGAACAGAAGTAGAAGACGGCAGAGGCATACAGAATCTCCTGAGAGGGAAGGTTGGAAGGGAGAAGAATAAAAGATCTCCTTCCATCTTTGTTACCACAAAAATTGTAAAGGTCCCTTTTGTTTGATTATCTAGGGGGTATCAGATCCATTCTTTCTTGAGTGCTAAGATGCACCAGTAATGTTGGGTTGGGAGTTGGAGTTGCTTGAACCAATCCCATCATTAATGGGGGCTAGTGAGCCGGGTCTTGAGTGGCCAATAGGGAGGTCTCTAGGAAAGAGGGATTATCACAATGGTCTGAGGAGAAATCCAGGGATCTGTCACAGGATTTTTGGACTGTTAGGAACAGACACCAGATTCTGGCAGAATGGCCTCCAAAAGCAAAAAGAAAATTTCTAACCAAGTTAAACTGAAAAGAATGTGCCTGCCAGTTGTGCCCTGGAAGTATGCCAGGGTGGGGTGCATCTTCCCACTTCCACAAGACAGAGCAGGAAAAAGGATGATCAAAAGACATCACCTGATGTCCTGGAGAAAGTTCAAGATGGCTAGTAAGGGAAAGCTCACCAACTAGCTGCTGTTGTACGAAGGGGGCAGGTACCAGATGGTCCAGAAAGTACGGAGAACTGAGTGGTGGTGGGGGTGTCCTGTAAACCAATCCGAGACATGGATCAATGAAGAGGGGGCTTTGGAGTTGGAACACAACACACCCAGACACCAAATTCTCAGCACAAAGGAGATTTTATTACCCCAGAGGAGATGGGGGAGAGGGTGGTAGGACTGTCTCTGGATAGGGCAAAGACTAGGGAAAAGACATCAGCAGGTGTCTCTGCAGGACTGGGTTTTATGGAAAAAAAGGGAAGTGGGGAAGTCAGTGCTAGGATAAGTTGGTAAGTCCTGACTGGACAGGTTAGCCAGTGTAGACAAGTAATGAACAATGAACTGTTCTTTTTCTGTTTTTTTTTTTGTTGTTGTTGTTGTGTTTTTTTTTTTTTTTTTTTCCAGACAGGGTTTCTCTGTGTAGCTTTGGAGCCTGTCCTGGAACTTGATCTGCAAACTAGTCTGGCCTGAAACTGACAGAGATACACCTGTCTCTGCTTCCTGAGTGCTGGGATTAAAGGCTTGCATCACCACCACCTGGCTAAGTAATGAACTTTAATTGATGGACTTTGGTGATCAGCCTCAGGAATGGGTTAGGCATAAGGATTGCCCGAATAAGGGAATAGACCTTGGTGGCTAGCTTTAGGAATGTAATCTAATGGTTTAGCAAGAGAATCAGAAGGGAGAAGGGCAAGATCTGCTGCTGCCTTGTTTGTGACCTGGTAGAGTCCTTTAGCAGTATGTGTTCTTAACTGCTGACCCATTGCTCCAGCCCTGTTAAATGAATTTGTAAATATTATGTCCTTTCTATTTTAGCATAATCTTTTACATTTCAGGCTAGGTTCACATTATTACACCACTTACCAGAAAAGACACAGACAGACAGACAGACAGACAGACAGACAGACACACACACACACACAGAGAGAGAGAGAGAGAGAGAGAGAGAGAGAGAGAGAGAGAACTAAACACTTGCTCTCTTCTTCACATTGGTTCTTTGAAGGCACAAAGAAAGATGCTCCCAGTATGTTCAAGTCAATTTAAGATTTTTTTTTTTTCACAAATAGTTAATCAAGAAACAGAATCCAGGGCTGGAGAGATGGCTCAGAGGTTAAGAGCACCGACTGATCTTCCAGAGGTCCTGAGTTCAATTCCCAGCAACCACATGGTGTCTCACAACCATCCGTTATGAGATCTGGTTCTCTCTTCTGGTGTGCAGATATATATGGAAGCAGAATGTTGTATACATAATAAATAAATAAAATCTTTAAAAAAAAAGAAATAGAATCCAGAGCTGGGTGATGTTGACATATGCCTTTAATCCCAGCACTGAGGTTAAGGCTTGTGTCTGTAATCCTACCACTCTGGGGACTATATTTGAGGCCATCCTCAGTTACAGAGTCAAGTTTCTGATCAGTCTAAACTATAGAATGAGATCCTGTCTCAAAAACAAAAAACAAAAGGAAAGAAAAGGAAAGAAAGGGAGGGAGGGAAGGAAGGAGACAGAACTAAAAAGAAAAAGGAAAAAAAAAAAGGTATAAACCAAAAAGTCTACCAAAATCCATGGCTCTGAAGTTACTATTAAATATGCTACATTTTTTAATCAGAAGCACTCATCAATCAAAGCATCCAATTAATCAATTATCTACCACTTTTAAATAAATGTGTGAGATTAATTTATCTCTGCTTATTATTCTCATAAACAAGTCTAAAACATAAATACTTCCTTTTCAGAAAAATCGAGGCATCTTGATTCTAGCAAGCATAGCAGTGTATTTCCAGAGTAAGCTGCAAGACAGAAGGAAAGAATCTTAATTGTGTACATGCACACATCTGTAGAGATGGTCTGGAAAAGAATGTATATGAAAACAGTGCTTACCGAGTAAGGTAACGAGTCACAGAAAGACAAGCATGGTATGTACTCACTCATATATGGATATCAGACATAGAGCAAAGGATTACCAGCCTACAATCCACACCGCCAGAGAAGCTAGGAAACAAGAAGAACCCTAAGAGAGATTAACATGGTCCCCCAGAGAATGGGAGAGGGGGAAGGTATGAGAAAGAGAAGGGGGTTGGAGGACATAAGAGATCAGGAAGATTGAGTCAGGGGAAAAATACAGGAGAGCAAGAAAAGAGATACCTTAACAGAGGGAGCCATTATAGGCTAAAGAGAAACCTGGCACTAGGGAAATGTTCAGAGGTCCACAAGGATGACCCCAACTAAGAATCTAAGCAATAGTGAAGAGGCTACCTTAAATGCTCTTCCCTTATAATGAGAATGATGACTACCTTAAATGCCATCCTAAAGCCTTCATCCAGAAGAGATCCGCAACTAAGCACTGAGCTGAACTCCTGGAATCCAGTTGTAGAGAGAGGAGTGATGAGCAAAGGGGTTAAGACCATACTTGGGAAACCCACAGAAACAGGTGATATGAACATGTGGGAGCTCATGAACCCCAGTCTGACAGCTGGGGAACCAGCATAGGTCCGAACCAGGCCTCCTGAATGTGGGTGTCAGTGAGGAGACCTGGGCAGTCTATGGGGCCTCTGATAGTGGATCAGTATTCATCCCTAATATACGAATGGATTTTGGGAGCCCATTCCCCATGGAGGGATACTCTCCCAACCTAGATACGGGGGAGGGCCTAGGTCCTGCCCCAAATGATATGACAGACTTTGATGCTCTCCCATGGGAGGCCTTCACCCTCCCTGGGGAGTAAATGGGGATGGAATGGAGGGTTGGTGGGGGGCAGGGGAGGATGGGAGAGAGAGGGAACTGGGATTGATATGTAAAATAAGATTGTTTCTAATTTAAATAAAAAAATTTAAAAAAAAAATAGTGCTTATCAGTAAGTAGCAGAATTACATGCCCCCCCCCAATAATTTTCATTTGAGGAATGTAGAAGTAAAAAGGGCAGAGAGGAAAGAAGATAAAATACAAAGCAAACTAATGTTTGTTGCAAGGTGGGGCCTTCAAGTAAGTCTTCACTTACTCTTTAAAATAATACTAATATTTACTACCACCTCACTTCTATGAGAAGATTAAGGCCCAGCCAGAAAGATGTAATTCCAAAGTCTGTAATTTTTGTTCTTTTGATAGTGATAGCTGACCTGGAACTCACAGAGATACATCTGCCTCTGCATTCTGGGATTAAAGGAGTGCACCACCATGACAGTCTTGTAAATCTGTTCTATCCATCAATACTCTACTCATGTTCATGCTTCTATAAGAAATGAAGGAATGAAGGTAAGCATAATTTGACCAGATTCTCCTTGTTTTTGCCCTCTCTACCATTTCTCCTACAATTAGGGATGCATCACTATTAGTCTAAATTGTATATAGAGGAAACAAGTTATCTATACCATAAAACTCTGAAGAACCTACTTGCTATTAAAGGGGCAGCAGCAAGCATCTTTTGTCATAGTAGCATGTGTGCATTCATGTGCACGCGTACATGCAGGTACATGTGTACTTTCGTGTGGAGGCCACAGATGACTCTGGATGTCTTCCTCTGCTACTCTTCACTTTGTTATAAGAGACAGGATCGATCTCTCACTGAATTTGAAGCTCACAGATTCTACTAGCCAGGCTGGCTGGCTAATGAGCTCCAAGAAACCATCTGTGTCCACCCTGGAAGCATTGGTACTACAAAAATGCTTTCACATTGGTGCTGGGGATCTAAAATCAGGTACTTATGTTTGCACCTGACCACTGGAGACATCACTGGAGCCCAGCAGTTAAAGAGTCTTAAGAGAAGTTCAGTAAACCTCTAGCTTGATCTAAGCTGTGGGTAGGTTAACAACAGTAACAGAGTTATTGTTACTTATATTCCCACAAAGTTACCTTCTAGAACCATGATCCGAAGTCCTGAACATTGCTACATAGTGTCAGCAATGGAAGGCACTAGGGCATGAGCCCAGAGGTGGCCTTTTGAACACTACTCCAAACACCTTACAAGAAGAGACAGAAAGTGAGTGAGAGAGAAGGTCCAAGGAACACAGAGACCAAAGGCAAGGGGAAATTAAAATTCATGTAGAATTCATCATGAAAACTTTACACTTGCTAAATTCAAATAAAGAATTTTTTTTGAGTGAATAAATTCGTCAAACAGAATTCTTGATTTTTAAGATTTTTTTTGTGGTTATCAAACATCTTTTCATCCTAAACAGATCTACTGAAGCTATGTGTGCATCTATTGAGTGTGTGTGTATATATATATGTATACACACACACACACACACACACACACACACACACACACACACACGTATGCATATATAGTGCATATCAACAATGAGGATGAGTGTGGAGTGAATGGGGAAAAAATAAGAATCTACTTGAGCCCTAAAGACTGTCTGACTAAGCTGGGCATCGGTGGCGCACGCCTTTAGTCCCAGCACTCGGGAGGCAGAGGCAGGCGGATCTCTGTGAGTTCAAGACCAGCCTGGTCTACAAGAGCTAGTTCCAGACAGCCTCCAAAGCCACAGAGAAACCCTGTCTCGAAAAATAACAAAAAAAGACTATCTGACTAGCTTTTATAACTGAGTAAAAAACGTGTACTTTACCTGTCAAGATTTAAAGTTCCTGTATATATAAACTCCAACAGTTTCTGAAATCCATCAGCCTTCACCTGACTCTGGTCAAGAAAAACATTGTTCTCAGAAGTGCTTCTGTAGATCGCACCAAAATACTCACTAAAGGAGGCAAGTACATTCCTGTGAGCCTTAAACTGGAATTCTCCAATCACTATGGTACAGTCACAAAGAAATCCTGCTTCCCGTTGTTTGTTCAGTCTCTCTAGAAGATGCTCACAGTGGTGTGAATACTGCATTTTGATATCAGAATGGAACTTTACCCTTGATCTAAAAGACAAAAAGAAACAGATAATCAATAGCCATCAGCTTGCATGGGGCATCCACAGCAGAGGTAAGGGAGGGTGGAGAAGGGACAAAAGACTAAACAGAAAAACTTTGCGACCCGCAAAGCCTCATCAAACACACATGGTGATTAAGTGCCTTTCTTTGTTTTACTGCACTAGGGCACTAATGGAATAAATGACGATGAACAAAACCAACTTTATGAGTTGTTGAAAAAAAAAGGGGGGGTCCTTAAAATCCTAAGCTTTCATAGTTGACCCCTCAAACTTTCAAGCTCAGGAGGAATATTTACCTGAAGGTGCTTTAACAAATAAACTAAGAAAAGACTGCTTGAGGCAACGGGGATAGGAACACAGACGAGTTGTTTTCGTTGCTCTCTGATCACTGAAACCTGTAGGCTTAGACGGCGGTGCGGTTCCTTCCAAGTGCCTTGCAGGTGCAAGGGGGCGGGAACGCCCCGACCTGACTCTCGGGTTGTCAAAGGTTCCTTCACTACCCAGGAGGACACACCCCTTGCCTGCCCGCTGCAAGCCCGGCAGCAGCGGAGTGACAGCTCCAGCCAGTCCTCCCGGGCCCCGGCTGCCCTGCCCTCCTCCCAGCTCGCACTCGCTCGAGTTCCCACAGCACGGGCTGCGGCTACGGCCACGGCCGAGGCGGCCTCTCCCAGGACACCCTCCTTCGCTCCCCGAAGCGCGCTCGATCTCCGAGGCCAGACCACGCAGGACTCCGGGATCCCGAGAGCGCGAGGACGACAGGCCAGGCAGAGGGCGGCACTCACCGGTAGCCGCCCAAGGGAAACAGTTTCTTCACTCTCTCTCCGCCATCTTGGGAGGACGTCACCTCGATGCTCCGCCTCTCCCTTCCTCCTCCGCCGTATCGTCACATCCGGATGTGTGATCCAGTGTGTGGACACCTCTAGGGTGGGCGAGCTGGCTATTAGAGACTCGTCTTCCCGACACGCCCGAGTCGCCAGAACACACATCAGTGCTCTCTCACATCCTACGCCAGATGCTCACCTTGTCAGCCCGCAGCTGTCGGCCCAGATTCCGGGCTGAGAGCCAGCTCAAGCGCGCAGCCGGCCTCTCCCGGAGCCACACTGCGCACTGCATGCTGGGAATTGTAGTTCTTTTCCTCTCCTGACATCCTCTTTTTATTTGCGTCCCTCCAGTGGAGACTAGGGCGCTGTGCACCCTGGCTCTTGACCATGGCGGGTGGGAGGGATGTACTTGAGTCGAGACCAATCACTCCTTCCTCTTTTGCATACCCGAAAGCTCTTGGGACCCCCAGAGTTCTGCCAGAGCCGGCCCACCGAAGCTCATCTTCCAGGATGCCCTTACCTGGTGACAGAAGGCAGAGACGCGCGAAAGCAAAGCAGCCGGGCACACTGGGCATGCGCAACATGAGAGGAAGGTGGGCTTTCTACCGGAAAAAGGTTGTCCTGCGTCTGAACCAGAACAACTTTAGCACCATTATTTACATCGAATTCAGAAGTGTGCAGTGAAGGAAGAAGCGGACGGTTATCGCTGTACTGTACGAAAGAGCCACAAAGTGTTGATGTGTTGCGGACGTCATAAATCTTAGAACCACAACCTAAGTATTGGTGGTTGTTGTTGTGAAAAGTTATGTGACCTTAAGGAATTTACCCGTGACTTTATTTCAAAAGACAAGTCACAAAAAATTTGAGCCTTTTACCCTGCCGGAATGTTTGCTCATTATAACATCTCTGTAAGAATTTGTGAATAAAACCACAATCGTGTTTATAAGAATAATGTTACGGCTACCCCTTTATTTTATTTTTCTGAGTATAAATCTATTTTTAATTTCACTTTTTTTCGAGCCCTTTACGCTAATTAATTTTGAAATATATAGTGAATTTGACGTACAGATTAAGAATAAAATATAGCCTGGCATAGAATGGAAAAAGGGAAAATGGAATCTCCAGGGGGAAATCTAAGTGATGTAATACAAAATTGCTCCACAGGAGATAGAGGTAATAGTCCGTTTTATTTGGCTTGTGGGGATAGAACCCAGAGTGCGAATGCTAGGCAAGCCTTCCTGCCTACCTCAGCAGCCAGTAGGTAGGTTCTCTTCTGTTTTTTTTCAACATTAGAAGTTTCTTCAACGTATTTTTTCAGGTAGGCAAGTCTCGGCTTGCAGAATCTGTCCTCAAGGTTTTCAAGATTCTAGTCTTTTGAAAAGTGAACCCAGAGAAAAGGGCAATGAATAACAGTAAAAACTTGTTTCCGCCCGGTTTCGAACCGGGGACCTTTCGCGTGTTAGGCGAACGTGATAACCACTACACTACGGAAACTTGGCTGAACAGGGATGCTGAAAAGTTCCAGATATGTGAAGGATTCCGGTAATTTTTTTTTTTCAATGAGGACGGAAGGAAAAACATTTAGTTAACCGAACTATTTCAAAAGTCTGAATTTGTTTGCAAACTTCTTGCAAAGCCCCGCCGCTGGAGACCAGACACCTTAGTTCCTGGCCCTTTTGGTCCGTTTTCTTCCCAGTTCCTGCAGGTTATGCTCTTCTGCTGGGGAAGCAGTTGTCAGGTCCCGACTCCCGGAGAAATGGTGCAGAATCACGCCTCGTCCCGCTTCTCGTAGGAGGACGTGGAAACTACTTCTCCATCCTGCTTCCGAATACCTACCAAAGGTTCTCATTTGTACCAGTTCTAAAGCCCCTAAACCGAGGACGCGCGAGATCAGACACCAAAGACGCTCGTTTTGCCTCGCAGTGTACTTTTCTTCTGAACTGAACTTCATAATGATCTAAGAAACTTTTCTTACCAAGTGGCAGATGTGGCCTTATTCCTAAAAATCAACCCTAGGAAATGAAATTTAGCTTCGGAGGATCCAGAGATACAATCCAAAAAGATGACGCAAACGAGGAGCAGGAAAGAAGGGAGGTGAGCCGAGCATCCCAGAACTCAGAGGCAAAAGAGGGGAGGGAATTCTGGTGAGTTCGAGGCCAACCTGTGCCAAAGTGACTCACAAACCAACAAAAGGGCTCTGCCCTTTTAATTGCGAAGTTTTAGAAGTGTGGCATTCGTCTACTATACATACAGTCCACAAACGCGTTTCACATCCCGGCACCCCCGAGGTTGAGTGCTTTAAGGCAGTGCCTTCCTGCAATATTCCCAGGCACTCCCCCAATTTCAAGGAAGTCTCCCGGACTCTGGAACACTCTTGTTAACTAGAGTTAAAGTACTTGTGGACAGTCTTTAAGAAAAAGAAAAAAAAAGCTTTTCACAGTTTTCGAGAAAGTCCCTTGCAAATTGTTAGATTTGTTTGTTTTGCGAGGGAAGCCCGGTTTTCTGGTATTGACGTTAAGAGCCTGCAGGGGCAGCGGTGAGACTCAGCCGAGCGAGAAGCCGGCGCACAGGCCAGCGGGTGGCTGGGTCCTCTGTGACGCGGAGTTCCAGGCACCTGGCCCCGCACAGCCTGGGAGGAGCGAGCCCGAGGCCGCAGAGGCCGCAGAGGAAGCAGCACCGGCAGCATGAGCGGCTACCAGCCACCAGTGGTGATCGACAATGGCTCAGGAATGATCAAGGCGGGCCTGGCTGGGACCCGGGAGCCCCAGTTCGTTTATCCGAATATACTGGGCCGGACCAAGGGCCACAAGACAGCGGTGAACTGCGGGCAGGAATTGTGTGTGGGTGACCAAGCGCAGGAGCGCAGGAGCTTCCTGTCCATCAGGTACCACCGGATGCTGCAACCTGGATGGGTGTGGAACGGGGCGGAGAGTCCAGAGACAGAACCACCCTGAAAGGGCCAGGGAGAGGAACCTGAAGGCTTCAGCCAGCCCCGCCTCACAAAAACTTCTGTTGTCTGTACATACATATATTCCGATGTATATAGTGACCTTTCGTGCTATAAGTGCCCCCCCCCAAGAATATGACTTAGTTTGTAGCTTTTGCCATTTGGCGTGATCTCGAACTATTTGCAACTATAACAGAACGTGAGAATTTCCTAACTTTTTGAAGTCCCATTCTCCAAAGAGGAGAAAACTGCCTAGGCAAAATGACTGCAGAAAAAGGTAGCTGTGCCGTTTACTGGTAGTTACCTTCTGTTGCTGACCAGAAAGCAGTACTGATAAATATTCACTTCATCTGTGAAAGAGCAGAGAGGGTAAATATTAAAAACTTAGTAGCACTCAGAGGCAGAGGCAGCAGTCTGAATTCCAGACCAGCTTCGTCTGCATGTTGAGTTCTAGGCTTAGCCAGGGCTACACAGTGAGACTCTGTCTCAAAACAAGAACTATCAAATAATACACACACACACTTAAAAGCTAAATCTAGAAACCACAACTAACAAGAAACACAAAAGCACAAGCCTTACATATTTTATTGCTCTCCCTCCAGCTATCCAATGGACCGAGGCCTCATTTCTTCCTGGGGAGACATGGAGATTATGTGGAAGCATATCTATGACTATAACCTGAACCTGAAGGCCAGTGATGGCCCAGTCTTGGTTACAGAACCTGCACTGAACCCCATGGTGGACAGGCAGCACATCTCTGAAGTATTTTTTGAAACCCTGGGAGTCCCTGCCTTCTATCTGTCTGTCCAGGCTGTGTTGGCGCTCTTTGCTGCTGGCTTCACCACTGGCCTGGTGCTGAATTCGGGTGCTGGGATTAGTCAGTGTGTGCCTGTCTTTGAGGGCTACTGTCTGCCTCATGGTGTAAAACAGCTAAATGTGGCAGGACTTGACCTCACCCATTACCTCATGATGTTGTTGAAGGAGGATGGTGTCATGCTGCTTAGAACTGAGGACAGAAAGATCGTGTCGGACATTAAGGAGAATGCTTGTTATGTGGCAATGAACTATGAGGATGAAATGGTCAAGGAACCTAGCCTACAGAAAATATATACACTGCCTGATGGGAAGACTATCAAACTCAGTAACCAGGTCTTTCGTTGCCCAGAGGCTCTCTTCTCTCCATGGCTTGTGAACGTTGATGCCCCTGGCATCGATAAGATGTGTCTTAGCAGCATCATGAAATGCGACACCGATCTCAGGAATTCCTTCTTCTCCAATATTATCCTTGCTGGAGGATCGACCTCTTTTCCTGGTTTAGATAAGAGACTTATTAAGGATGTGGCAAAGATGGCACCTGCCAATACCCCTGTGCAGGTTACAGCTCCCCCAGAAAGGAAGATATCGGTGTGGATGGGGGGATCTATTCTTGCATCCTTGTCTGCCTTCCAAGACATGTGGATCACTGCTGCAGAATTTGAAGAAGTTGGACCCAATATAGTACACCAAAGATGCTTCTGAATAGCAGACAATATGATGAGTAAAACATGTTTTGAGTGTATGCAACAGCAAAACACTTTGGATATTCTGATTCTGGGGAACAAAAAACATTTCTGTTATTGGGATAGCCATTTTCTTTTTTTTTTTTAATGTTTTTGGTAATTCTGGAAATAGAACCTAGAGTCTCACACATGCAAAGCACTCTACCAGTAACTTATATCCCCATCCCTCTTTTTAACTTTTTTTAAGATAGGCTCTCCTGCTAAATTTGTAATCCTTGTGTTTCAGTCTCCCAGGTAGCTGAAATTATAGGCTTTCGACTTTGGGGCTGGGTCTCAATACAACAGGGCAGGAAAAAAATGTAATTGTTAGGTTTCAAACCCAGGACAAACAGCTGAGGTGCCTATTTAACATATCAAACTGTACACTGGCTGCTAGGTTCTCTCCTGTATCCCTCAGTCCCTACCTGTTACAGGGTCCTTCTGGCACACCCCAACCTTACCCTGAATTTCTCATTTCTCTCCTCCCAGCTGCCCTTCCCTATATAGTCCAAACATTTTGGTTATCTCTCCTCTCTTTGGGTCTCCTGGCTGCTATGCCTGGTTCCCCTCCCTGCCCTTGTCCTCCTCATATGGCTCAGGGTCCTGACCATTCTGGACTCTCTCAAAAGTCTTTGTCTCTGGCTATGTCTCCCTTATATCTACAATAAACTTTCTCCTTCACCATATCGGGGAGCAGTCATGTCCTTCCTCCTTTCCTTTTCTTTCTTTTTTACATTTATTAATAATAATAATGGTCACTGTTGTATGAGATGGGGCTCAGTAAAGAAACTGCCAAAATGGCCACTCTATTAGGGGGAAGGTTTTATTGTGAAGAAGAGAGAAAATATCCAAAAGCTTCTGGAAAAGTCCAAAGGAGAAAGAGAAGCCAACTGGGTGTGGCCAGGGCTGTCTGCAATACAGAGAGAGAGAGAGAAGGGGTGAACAAATCTTGCAGATTTTCAGTTAGATCCAAAAGAAACTCCAATGGCTAACCCTGGTGTCTGTCAACATACCAAAGAGCAGACTGGCCTCCAGGCTCACTCAGTACCCTTGGCTCCTCTCAGCTCTTCTCACCCTGCCCCTTACCCTAAACTTTGCCAGTCATGGCCTTTTCTACCCCCAACTTCCCATTCCTATATAACCCTGCAATTTCGGCCAGGTGCTATCTTGGTCTTACACTTAGAGGAGAACAAAGCATATTTACTAAAATGGAGGGGAGTGAGAACTGTGGCCAGGAAAGAAAATTAAGGCTAACAACTAAAAGTCTTGTTACAGGAGCCCAGCAAAGGTAACCACTCAGACACAGTTTATAGCCAATTGAAAGTCTTTATTCCAGATTGAACTACACACAGGTATTCAGTCCTGAGTGTAGCGCCCAGTGTTCAGAGCATTGGTGGGGTTTATGAAAGCAAAAACCATGACTTGGCATTTTGATAGGCAGTTGCAGGGTAGGGTTTTGGGTAAGCAAGCAGTTCAACAGAAGCTAAGATAAGCAGTTAGCTGGAGGGGATTCTAAGATGATGGGTTATCTAGAGGGGGAGGTTTGTACAAGTAAGCAATGTAACAAAAACTGTGATAAGCCGGGCATTGGTGGTACACGCCTTTAATCCCAACACTTGGGAGGCAGAGGCAGGCAGATCTATGTGAGTTCCAGGCCAGCCTAGTCTCCAGAGCAAGTGCCAGGATAGGCTCCATAGCTATACAGAGAAACTGTCTCAAAAAAAAAAAAAAAAAAAAAAAAAAAAAAAGGAAGGAAGGAAGGAAGGAAGGAAGAAAGAAGACTGTGGTAAATGGCTAGGGCATCTTGACCTTGGGTTCCTAGAATAGAGTTGGGTAATTTTCCAAAGGATTCTCCATCAAGGAGATCAGACTCTAGTTAATCTGAAATGGCCTCAGCAAGAATACAGGATGAAGGAACATCTACACTGTCTTGCCCATCACAGTCTTTATAGTTAAATACCCCCAAGGCAGAGGGGAGCAAAGAAGATTTAACTGCAGGAGACCAGGGATTTTATTAAGATGAGTGAAGTGCTAATTTGGAGAATAAAATTGGACTGGAAATTTTCAAGAGATTCAGTGATCCGTTAGAAAGTTATTAGTTCAGATGAAAAGTAGCCATATTCTTGTACTCAAGATGATAAATAATAGGAATTAAAAAGGTATTGCAAAAACTGATGAACCTTGGTGCCTAATTAAGTAAACACGAAACACCTAATTAGGTAGAAAGTAGGGACTGAGACCTGTATAGCTGAGACAATGGCAGGAACACAGATGTATAATCCAAGGTATTTATTTAGTAAGTGCTCATTCGATGCAAGCCAGTAGTTTTCTGTCTTCAGTCTATGACTTAAGGAGGATCATTAGCACCTAGATGTCAGGGCTAGCCTGGACAACATAATACTGTTCCCTCAAAGCTTGGGTCCTGGAACCCTCCTGACTAGGGTCAGTGAGGCAAAGGGGAAAGGACGGACACACAGATGGCCATTCAGAAAAGCTTAGTGGGCAGAGGTGTGCTCACCCTAATGGAATGGAACCTACTAGCAGGCAACTCAGAACCCCAGCATGCTTATTTGGTGTAGCATGGTAGGAGTTCTCTGTCAGGGAGTAGCCTCGAGCTGTAAAAATCCAGGAAGGGGAAGATTCCTCTGAGTGTGGGCCAGATGCTTTATTAAGGTTAAACTACACTATGATCACCAAACACACTTTCCAGTATGCTTACCTTATTACGACGACTTATCTCCTTTCATAGTCTGAATGATGGGTGATTATATATCAGGTATCATGTATCTGATTTAGTTAAGCTCTATTCTTTTCTTAATTTATTACCAAATCCTCCCTAGTCCTTTAAGTTTCATAAAGGGTAAAATAAATGTTCTTGTTAAGAAATGTAGCCCAAGCCTGGGCGTTGGTGGTGCATGCCTTTAATCCCAGAACTTGTAAGGAAGAAGCAGGCAGATCTCTGTGAGTTCAATGCCAGCCTGGTCTACAGAGTAAATTCCAGGACAACTGCCAAAGCAATACAGAGAAACCCTGTCTTGAAAACCCAAAAGCAACAACAAAAACAAAACAAAACAAGAAAATGTAGCCCTCTGTTCCCCATATCATAGGCCACACCCTGACTTGATGATTTTATGGTTAGCCTTTTGCTTACTCATGCTCCCTCTTAGGGTTTGCTGAAGATGGTGGTATACAGTCTGAATTAGCAAGAGATGGTGAGGTATAACAGGGTTTATTGATTATAGAACAGACTCCTCTAGATGGATATAAAGTACTGACAAGTCCTTTGAGTTTTAAGCTTAGCTAGTAGTTTTCTGGCAAATAGTTTGTTAGTGAATTATTAAGATCTAAGGCTGAGTATAGTGGGGTATCTAATCCCCCAGTTTGAGTATTAGCTATGGTATATTGAGTTCATTAGAATTACTTTTGGTATTGGGTTTAGTTCCAACAATGAATTTTCACTTATAAATTGGATTTTAGTTCTATAAACACTTTTACTTGGACCAAAAGAAGAATGAGCTGGCTTCATATGGGAAAATGGCTTTGCCAATTTGCCATGTGCCCGAGACTTTGGTCTTTGTATTGGCTGTGCCCTTTCAACAGTACACATTCAGTCACCTCCACTCATTAAGGGCTTCCTCCACTCTCTACATTAGAAACTGTCAAAATGCAAACTAAACCCCACTAGAATAGTAAGTAGGAAATGCAGCATTCAACACTAAATTTCCTTGCTGGTAGAGGGTAGATTTAGTGTACTTAACCATAAAATGATCACAGGGTTCAATAAGAGTCCATGCTTAAGGAAGCCACTGGGAAGTTTGACTCTGGGGTTAGGTTTAAAAGATGGTTAGAATTTAAATGTATGAGAGGCTGGTTGTCGTGATTTACCCAGCTCCTTGTAATCTCAAGGGAAGCAGAGGCAGGAAGATAGAAGCAAATTCAAGGTCAGTCTGGTCTACTTAGTAAATTCCAAGGCAGCCAAGGATACACACAATGAAGGAGAGCCTTTCCAACTGAATTTAGGTGTGGCAAACACAGCTACTGATGCTACAGGGAGCTGGAAAAGACACTGGGCTCACTTGAAGAATGAACAATCTATGTTTCCCACTGCTCTTTATATATGGTGTAGCTAGCTACTAGAGAGCACTGCAAGCAGAGCTTGGGCAGACAGTATCTTTTACCCTCCTTATGCGAGTTCCTCCTGCATTTCACTGACCTTGTCTGTACCTTGTTTGGCCCAGAGGGCATTCTTCCAGGGCTTTGTCTGTGCATGTAGTTTCCTGTAGTCCTTGGGGCACATTTGGGTCAGGATTTGTGCTGAGGAAGGAATGGCAGATCATCTAGAGCCAGACATTTATTTTGTTTTGTGATTCTTTTGTTTGTTTGTTTTTCCAGACAGGGTTTCTTTGTGGCTTTGGAGGCTGTCCTGGAACTAGCTCTTGTAGACCAGGCTGGTCTCGAACCCAGAGATCCTCCTGCCTCTGCCTCCTGAGTGCTGGGATTAAAGGCCTGCACCACCAACGCCTGGCTGAGCCCGACATTAGCCCGACATTTATGCTAGACTATGCACCAGCTATCTGACTTAAGCAAACTTTTAAAGTTTTGAAGCTACAGTTTCTGGTTGAGAACCTGGGACTGCTCAAGGTCATTTTGAAGTTCAGTTGGGATAAACACCCCCTCCCCCATACACACAAACAAGGTATCTCTGTGTAACGGCTCTAGCTGTCCTGGACCTAGCTCTGTAGACCAGGCTGACCTCAAATTCAGATATCCGCCTGCCTCTGCCTCTCAAGTGCTGGGATTAAAGGCCTGCAAACACATTTAAAGGCATGGAAAAACAAAACAAAACAAACACAAAATGTTGGGGTTTTGTTTATAAAATAGTTTACAGGTCTAGTTGAAATAATACCCTCCTACAGCATCAAAATGCTATCCACAATATATAGGACTTCTCATGACCAACTGATTTATGCAGTTTTTTTCTCATTTGTTCGTTTTTAATACGTTTGTTTGTTTACTTACTAGGAGGACTCTGTTCTTGCCTTCTACCATGTGAGTTCCAGAGAGGGAACTTCGTGTTTCATGCTTGGTGTTAAGTGCCTGTTACCTGCTGAACCATGTCACCCAGGGCCCTGTTTATAGGTTTTGAATCCTACAGCTAGGAGCCACCGCGACAATTTATGCAGATGTATCACTGATTTGGTCTTCTCTGTCAAGAGCGATACTTTTAGATGGAACTGTGAGTTGTTGCTTCCCATCTCTGTACCCTTCCATGTCTTATGTGGTGCTCTCCCAGGAGATATGTAAACACTGAATTAGCTCGAAGCCTTCCCTGCCTGTAGAGAACTGTCAAGGAAAACAAAACAGAACTGGGGGAGGGGGAGAGTGATGGGCAGCAAGGAACTCAGCCTGAAAACAAAACAAAAAAGGAGATTTTTAATCTTTTGGTGCCCTTGAAATGTTGACTTCCTGCTTCAGCCTAAATACTACTATTATAGATATGTGCCACCTACCCACCCTTCTATCTCCAAATTCTTTTTCTTTCTGGAACTCACTATGTAGAACAGGGTGGCCTCAAAATCCAAGACCCGCCGCCTGCCTCTGTCTCTTAAGTGCTGAGATTAAAGGTGTGAGCCCCAAACCCGGAAGCCTGTGTGGGCGGGGGGATGGTAACGAAAACGCAGGCGTA